AAACCTGATTCGTCATGCCACGTCTGCGCCTTTTCACCCGTCCACCAACGGTATGGCTGAACGCATGGTGCGCATCGCAAAGGACGCCTTGAAGAGACTCACCTACGGGGACTGGCATCACAGGTTGGCTGACTTTCTCCTTTCTTATCGCACCACACCGTCCACTTCTACAGGGAGAAGTCCAGCTGAACTTCGTTGGGGGCGCCAACTTACTACTAGACTTGACCGGTTGCATCCGGACAGACTGCCTTCATCTACCTCACATCCTAGGGCACCTAGACAACTACTTGTGGGTGCCCCGGTTTGGGCTCGCAATTACGGGCCTGGTCATACATGGGTCCCCGCTTCTGTGTCCAGGATCACAGGTCCTCTCTCCTACGAGGTTGCCCTGGACAACGGTCGTGTCCTGCGTCGGCACATCGACCAACTTCGCTCTAGGCGAGACTTTTCTGCTGAGACTCCTGGGTCTTTTCCAGGGGGGGAGGGGGACCCTTTGGAGCAAAGGGAAGGGCAAGAGCTACTGCCCATCTCCACTGAGGGAGCCACAAACGGCTCGTCCCAAGGTTCTGCAATTGCTCCGAAAAGAAAGTCATGGAGCTTACCCACACAACAGGCACTCACGCCTACTCCAGCCAGGGAGTCACCCCGGGGGCATACTCACTTTCCACACACATCACACAGCACTCCAGCAACGGAGGATACCCGGGGGCATCCCAACAAATCATTCCCCGCAAGAGAACTGGCACACAATTCCCAAGGTTGGCCTGACCTTACCCCAAATCCTACAGGGGGTCAAACATACACAGAGTTAGTCGAGGAACCAAGTCCCGACTACAACAACCCTAGCACAAATCAGGGAACACCTGAGTTTTGGGAAAGTACAGAAACCCTCCAGCGACTACAACCTAGCACAAACAGGGGGAGTTTTGGGGGGCAGAAACTGGGGTTCAGGGAATGGACAGCCTCCTGACAGGTCTTGGACTGACCTAGGAGGTTCTACAGAGACGCCCAGCAGCGGCTATCACTTCAAGGGGCCTGAGGGTCTACAGCTAGGTAGGTCAACCAGGTCACAAAGTAACAGAAGCCCTGGCCTGACGAGCCCGGTGGGCAAGCAAGCAGGCCAGGCATCGGGGCACAGTCCTTGGAAGACACCAGGACACAATAGAGAGAACAGGCTCATGCCTCCCTCCAGTCAGGGGACTTATGCCAGTAACCCAGAGCTAAGAAGGTCACAGAGAGCAAAGAAATCTCCTAAGTATCTAGAAGATTACATAACATTGCTGGCAAAGCAAAGGCCAGTAAACAGTGGGAGCACTGGGGAGCAAAATGTCATATAAAATAAATGTTGTATGTTGGTAGTAGTTTTAGCCCGGGGGAAAGGGGTGTTATGTCCCGAGCCTTTTGCAAACGGCTCGGGCGTTTGCAGGCAGTCCCGGGCAGGTGCAAAGCTGCCCGGGACCAGACAGGCTGTCGCCAGCGCCGTGCGCATGCGCGGGTGCTGGCGCGGGAAAAGTAACCCATTTACCCGGGAGTTGCCTATATAAGAGGCTGCGAGGCGTTTGGGCAAGGCTGAAGCCATCTTCATGTAAGCTGAACGCTGAATAAATGAAACTGAGAACTCCAGCTGCTTCTCGTGTCTGTTTTCCCGCCACGGACTCAACACCCCAGCTAGGAGATCAAGAAGACAAAGAGACTTAAAATCTGCATACCCCACCCAAACTCTAGGAATTATTAGCCCCATCATCAGGGAAGCAGGATATGATAATAGGATTAAACCACAGATACCAAGGCCTAGAAAAACACTCAGATTCAGTTCAAAGTTCATGCCACAAGAACAGGAAACTATTCCAAACAAAAGGCTTTCAGAGGGTATAAAAACCTCTACATGTGCTCAGCCCTTGATTTCTCTCTCTTTTCTGCCAGAACCATCTCCCTGTCTGGCTCTCCTCTCCAATAAACTGCAACCTTCTTCCCAAAGCAGTTGCCATGTTTATTCCCAGCTTGGATGAAGCACGATGAAGACTTTTCTTCCAACACAATACCTAGCTTTGGTATTGTGAGGTTAGTGTCCATGTTTCACCGGCATATGTTAGAGCAGATAGCACACACTGATGAAAAATTTTTCTCTTCAGGCATAGGAGTGTAGGAAGTAAAATCCAGTCTGGTTCCAAGCTGGGAGAAAGACGCAGGGGCCAATGAATTTGGAGGCAGGCTGCAGGAAAGGAGGTCTCCATTAATAATCAGAAGCGAAGTGACCTAGTGATCGGTTCCAGGACAGCTGACAGCCTGGCATGGGGAGTAGAGTGATTTTTATACCCTTTTGGATCTTTGAGATTGAAATGCCTGGTAGGATTATTTGATTAGTTTAGATTCTGTATTCTAATTGTCCCTATTTGGTTTCCTGGGTGGTGGTCAAGGTGAAGGCTAGCCGTGGGGAAAAAAGGGGAATGTAAATTCTATGTGACTTTGTGTTTTCTGACTTAATCCTTAATCCTGTCAATTCAGCCTGTCTCAGTCTTCTAACTGGGGTTCCTTGTGGCCATTCTGGCTGGGCGGCAGGGATTGCTTTAGTTTTTATGGATGGGCTTTTTTTGTCTTCTCTAGAGGTATGGAAAGAGAGGGAGGTGTTTCTTATTATTCTTCCTATAGGACAGTGATGGCGAACCTTTTAGAGACCGAGTGCCCAAACTGCAACCCAAAACCCACTTATTTATCGCCGGTTGCCAGGTGGGCCTGGCCTACTGGGTGGGCATGGCTATGGTGGTCATGGCAGACTGGGTGGGTGTAGGCAAGGTTGGTGTGGTCATCGATGTTGCTCATGGGGAGGGACACCTGTGGGGGCTGGGCAGAGTTGGGGGAGATCCAGGGGGTCTCTGGCAGGTGGGGCGGTGGGCAGGAGGCTCATCCTGCGGGGTGAGGCAAGGCAAGGCGAGGCAGGGCAGAGATACCATTGTCGCAGGGCAAGACGAGGCAGGGGCCGGGGCGGCTGCCGCCTGACACCATCGGCCCCCGCACACAGAGGCCAATGAGCGCATGGGGGCCAACAGTCAGCAGCCACAGCCTGCCAGCCCCTCGACCGGCGCACTCTGGGGCTCCACAGCCCCCTGCTAGCAGTTCAGAGAAGCCGCTTCTGAGCTGGATGGCCGGCCGACAGCTGAGGAGGGGATGCAGTGGGTCATGCCCGGGAAAAGGAGAGCATGCAAGGCCAGGAGGGATGGGACGGGGGGGAGGGAAACCAGCTTTGCCGAGATGCATCCAGCCACGTGGGACCTCGCTGAGTTAGCAGGCAGCTAGTTGAAGAGGGACAGTTGAAGAGGGCTCTGAATGCCACCTCTGGCACACGTGCCATAGGTTCGCCACCACTGCTATAGGAGGTTGAAAATTACGAGGGGTTTTACTAATGCTCTTCAGCACTTTCTTGACTTGGGTGTTGCTTACTTGATTGTTGGTCTGAAGTTGACCTTGGAGTTAATCAACAACCAAGTAAGCAATACCCCAGTCAAGAAACTGCCAAAGACCCACTGGTAAACAGCCCATCCAAAGAATCCCTAAGACCACCTCCACCCACCCGGACAGGCAAGACGCCAGAATATAACCAGATAGCAAACAGCGCTCCTTACTAGCACTGATGATGTTACCTAGTCAGGGTAATGAAACGTCTGCAAGAAAACAAGCAAGTTCAGAGAGCACCAAAGACCCCTCATTTCAACCCTGAGCTACAAATATTCTCCTTCATTGAAAATTATGCTTTGCTGGCCGAATGCCTGCCAACCACATTTAACACCGTTCAACTTCCTGTTTATGCAACTATTTGCTATGATGTTCCTCCATCTGTTCTGTTTACAGTACTCATTTCATTTCTTCCTTTTTCTTGTTGTAGGATGAGATATGCAGCAAATAAATTTGACAAATAAAATAATTTTATTTTATATATTATAAAAATATTATAGCAGAAATCAATACAATTTTCAGCACAATCATCTTGTCTGCTTTACTACTGCTGTATTGTGTATGTGTGGGTATATCAGTGGTAGGATTCAAATATGTGAACAACTGGTTCTCTGTGTGGATGCCACTTCTGGAAGTCCATTCTGGATCTGGGCAACAAAAAATTAGTTATGGGTTCTGCCAAAGTGGTGAACTGGCTGAATCCCACCACTGGGGTATATGCATAATCTTTTATCATGTTTATGTAGTGTATATTGAGGTGATTACCCTTTTGAGAGCTGAGTGCAATGAAATTTCATTTTAATGTATACCAATTAGTGTACATTTAAGGTGAAAATAACTTTTCTATTCTGTTCCATTCCAATTATTCTATTCTATTCTATTCTTATAAAAGGCCTATTTTTCTTCCCTGCAACACAACAGCAAGGAGAAAACTGAGGGAGAAATAAAAGAACGTGGTTTTTTTTCCAAACCAGCCATTAAAATATGGCTCTGAGCTCTGGGAGTGCATTAATTAGCGGAAGGCGGGGACTCTGCACCCGCGGTTTTTTTTGATAGACGTCAATTGGATTCTAGGAGTGACGCCACTCTGAGCGTTGACCAATGGGCTTGGATAATTCATTTACATCAGTCGCTCAGAGCTACGTCAACACTTCCCCTCTTTAATATGAGACCCCTTTGATATAATTGGTAGTTCGATAGCAGCCTATGACAATGCGGTTAAAATGATTGAAAGGAATTCTAGCCATAGATACAGCTAGCATTGAATATGGGTGGGACCAAAATGAACTGCCGACCAGGGAAATCAGGGCAGCTGAGGGAAACAGTTAATATGATAGTCCCGTGGTCTAATCTCACAGCGAGCTGAGTGACAGCACATATAGCCTATCCTGTCTTGGAGCCTCGCCTCCAGTTTACTTCATCTACCCCCAGCCCATCTTCGCTGTGCGCTGATTGGCTTTGCGCTTGATCGGTGGCCAATGAGCGCGCCCGGGGTAGAAGACTCATACCCCAAGAGAGCGGACCAGTGGTGAAAAAGAGTGGGCGGAGCTCCCGACAGACGCGGCGCAGAGGGCAGGTTGGGCGCCATTTTGTGAGGCGTTCGGAGCGCGAATGAGGCGAGCGTAGCTCTGAAAAAGAGGGAGAAGCGGTGTACGGTTGCAAAATTATACATTTAAATAAGCAAAGCGGCAGTGTGCTGGATCTGGGGCCTCCCGGTGAGTTCGTTGCCTGAAGAAAAACGCCTGAGGGAAGAGTGGCGACGGTTCTTTTTTTTTTCCCGCTTGTGGGGGAGGGGAGTTCGCATAATGGTGTTGCCCACACGCCCCCTCAGTTTTGGCCTCCGCGGTGGTTTTTCCCTGGCCGGTCTTCTTGGACTCGCGCCTCTTCCTCCTTCCCCCCTATGCAATTTATTGGTATCGTCCAAGCCGATGGGTATTTGGTTACTTTGGGAGACACCATTATGCTGGGCACAAAGGGCTGGGGGGGGTGAGGAGAAAGACTGCTTTAATGGTTCTCCCATTCTGCGAAAGAGAGGAAAACGTGTGTCCGTCTGCGTGTTTGTGTACGGTTATGCGTTTGTGGGGTTGTTAAAAAAAATAACTCGCGTATGGAAGTTACATTATCTGAAATGTATGAAACGCGTAAGGTGCGCGCGCAGATCCCATTCGCAGGTATGGCTGCTGGATTAGGCAGGGAACACAATCTGGATGGTGCCTGGCCTGACTTTTATTGGCGTTCAGGGCCGATTTTATTCACCTAATCCGGATTGACAGTCTAGGAAGACGAGATGCCAAATGCCTCAGCGGGTGGGAACAGCAAACTGAATCTCAGAAAACTTAAGCACTGACAAATCCAGGTAGTGCTTGGATGGGAGACCACCAGGAGATCCCAGGGCTGTTTAAAAAAAACTGACTTAAAAAAAAAAACCTTAGAAGGTAGTCATCATGTTTGTAAAAAAAAACCTAGATATTTCTTGGTAAGACAATATGAATTTTTTTATCATTATCAAATTGTGACTTTGGTAGATTTTTTAAAAACACACACACTCTAAATAGGCTGCAAGGCTGACGTGGATGGTAAAATGCCTAAAAGCAATCAGAATTTGTACACTATGAAAGCTATCTAATGTACATTTGCGTTGGTTGGAGCAATAAAAATAGGTACTATTTCATGTATTATTATCCTAGACATTTTAAGGATTTGGCACTTTGGTAATGCAGGTTCAGAAAGACTAAAACAACAAATGCTATTTTGTTTTTTGTTTTTTTTAAAGATAGTTTTTCATGCTGATTTGTATAAGTGACACAAACTTCTGAAAGGCCTGCTTGTATTTTTAGCAAAGGCAAGTTTCTGAATTACTCAGCTATTTATTTGATAGAAAGGGATTGTGCTGTATTTGCCAGCTAAAATGATGCAACTATTAATGCATTTCTTTGTTGAACTTGTGCTTAATGTTTTTAAACTTACCTGATCCAGTTCACACCAGTGTCAGATTTAGGAGGAGGTGTGTAATTTTTTTGAAAACCAGTCGGGACAGGGTGGCATATTTTGTGTACCCTGCTATTCTGCCACTTTACTTGCAGTCAAAGTTTGGGAAGCAGTTTGTATTGCAGGCTTATTGATTAGTCTCATGTTGAAAGCCATAATGCCTTTTTGTTCTTGTTTCATAATAAGACAGTGTCTTGGCAAGAAAACCATGTCAATCGTAATACTTTTCAAACTATGGTTGCAGATGGCCTAGATACAAGGATTCTGCATGTGTTAACACAGCTCTAGGTTACCATGCTACCAATCCGGTTATTGAAGTTGGAACGTAGGAGGTGGAACTGTAATGCAATAAACTAAGAACACTCTGGGTACACTGTATAGGTAGTTCTCGGCTTACAGCCATGCGTTTAGTGACCATTTAAGGTTGTTTTTTTTTCCCCAGCACTGAAAATGTCTTATGGTATGATCATTGCAGCATTTCCATGGTCATATGGCCAACATTTGTACACTTGGCAACTGGCATGTATCTATGACGGTGTCCCAGGGTCGTGTGACCCCCTTTTGCAACCTTCTTACAAGCAAAGTCAATGGGGAAGCCAGATTCACTTTAACTGGGAGGCTAACTTGACAACCTTGCACCTTGCTGCATTTGGAATCACATTGATCATTTGCAAGATAGGCTGTTTCTCCCCCAGAGAAAACAGCACTGAGGAGATGTCAAGGACAAGTGAAATTAATAATTTAAGTAGGTAAGGATGAAAACATAGTTGGGTGACACCTCTACCCCCATTACCTGGCATTTGAGTGGTTGGTGAGTGGGAAGGTAGATAAAAGGGGTGGGGGTACTGATATCTGAATTCTATAAATTTCTATTGCTTGGGACTTTTACCACTGTACTGAGAACCTAGCAGACCAGTGCATGCATTTTTCGTATAGACCTCGTTTCTGTTCCCTTGATCCTATTCAGTGTGTGTGTGTGTGCGTGTGTGTGTGTAATGTGCATATGCTCAGTTTTCCTCAACTTTGCTTTAGAGATCTGTATGAGCTACCTATCACAAGCTTGCAGGTAACTTTGAAGTCGTCCAGCACGACTCGTTCGTTGTCAATAAATAGAAATTTCAGGATCAAGGTGGCACCTTAATCATACCTGAGCGGCTGCTGTGAGCTTGGAGTAGCCACATGGGAATGGAAGCTGGTGTTCTCTGGGGTGGGGGAAACTGGGAGATGTGGGCAAAGTTTCTGGGGTATCCTGACTCATCCTGTCCCTTCTCCTTTCACAGGGCAGCAAGGAGAAAACCCCCAACCCTTCCTTCACTGGCGCTCAGCTTGTTTTTGTTTTATTTTTATTTTTTTAAACCCCTACCCAACCCACAACACGCACACCCTCTCCCACTGTCGCAGTGCAAGTTATTTTAATAAAATGGTGCCTGTGTGGCCCAGTGTTGCTTTGCTCTCAGGCAAAAAAAACTGGATTGAAAAATGTAATTTTGCGGGGGGAAATCGCCTTTTTTTCCCCCCTGCAGCAGCTGGGTTAGAGGAAGAATCTTTTAGCCTCGTAAGAGCTGGCCTTTCTTAGGCATTTTTAGAATGAAATGGTGTTCAAAAGGGCTTGGATTATTTTCTGCCATGAACTCTCTCCTCTGCCAGGTTTTGCCGTAACTGTGGCTGGAATGAGAGTTTGAAAGGGGGGGGAAAAAGGACAGAAAGAAAAAAAAAGAAAAAAAAATCGTTATTGACTTTGACCTTTTTACACCTCCCGTTTTTCTAATCTGGGCTATTTTTATTTTTGTTTTTTTACAGTGAGATTTTTTTGATCTTCAGCTACAGTAAGTTATTCCAATTTTTTCCATTTTTTTCCTGCCTTTCCACTGATTTCCTTTTTATCGTTGTTACTAGTTAACGTATTGATATTATTGCTGCAATAATGGTGGTGACTGTGACTATGATGATGTGTTGCTGATGGTTTTGATTTAAAAAAAAAATGACTGCTGATTTTTAACCAGATGAAAATGGAGTTTTTCTGAATGATCCTAACTGACTCTGGGCTTTTAACCCCTTGGGGGGGGAAAACACACAAAACAAGGTTTTTAAAACTTTTTTTTTTTAAAAAAAGTGGATTGATCACATTAACTCTTTTTTTCCCTCCCTCACTGATCGCCTGGCTGCCAAGAACAGAACCTGATACCTCTCCAGAATTTACTTGAAGAACTCGGGAAGTTCCTATGCTGTTTTTTTTTTAATTTTTTTTTAAAATTTTTTTATTTTTAATATTTTATTTCTATTCGATTTTTCAATTGTTGCTGCACTATGTCTGTGGTGCTGATCACTCTCTAGCAGTGACGGCCTCTCCCTGGTCAGATGCCCAACTTGGCCCTTCATACCCTCTCAGTTCCCATCCTGGTCTTTCCCTCTACACCATCCCCCTCCCCTTACAAGCGCCGTCATGGATGCCCAGTCTGGAGTAACAGAGGCAGCTACCAGCGGAGCCTTGCATGGAGCAGGGCCATACCCATCTTGGCTGATGGTAAGAGGCTGCATTGGCTTCATTCCAGGCCATCCCCTCTTAAAGGTCTTTCTTGAAGTGGATGCACCTGTATATAGCATATCTGAGAGCGCTATTCAAACCCTGACATTGAAAATATGTCAAATGTCCTTTCCAGGAGCATTTATGGAACCGCAGGCTGGTAGACTTTGACTTACAACTCTTAAAACTCTTTGTTTAGTGCAGTGTTTCTCAACCTTGACAATTTTAAGGCCTGGGGACTTCAACTCCCAGAATTCCACAGCCAGCATTGCTGGCTGTGGAATTCTGGGAGTTGAAGTCCCCAGGCCTTAAAATTGTCAAGGTTGAGAAACACTGGTTTAGTGGGTGTTCAAAGTTACAACCACACTGAAAAAAAGTGCCTCATGGCTGTTTTTCACGCTTGCGACCATGGCAGCATCCCCATGGTCACATGATCAAAATTCAGGCTTCTTGGCAACTGGCATGTATTTATGATAGTTGCATTGTCCTGGGGTCAGGTGATCACCTTTTGTAACCTCCCCAGCCAGCTTTTGGCAAGCAAAGTCAACGGGGGATACCAAGTTCACTTAATGATTGCTTGATTCACTTAACTGCAGTGGTTCATTTAACAACTGTGGCCAAAAGGTCATAAAATGAGGCAGAACTCAACAACTGCCTTGCTTAGTGACAAAAATTTTGGGCTCCATTGTGATTGTAAGTCAAGGACTACCTGTAATGTGTAGATCCAGCTGCTAACAGATGATTGATCTTGGGAAAAGACAAAATATATTGAAGATCGGTGGACTCTAGTACTGGGTTAAATGGTCTCCCAGTTTTTTAAAAAAAAATCTTCCTAGTTCAGAGTTGTATAGGGTACACGTAATACAAATGTATTGGAATTTCATAGCACATAGCTATAAAATAATGCAATTACAGTCCCCGAGGTTTTTTAAATACTTTGCAAATATTACAATATGCATTAATTGTCTGCTGTAATATACATAAAGCTAAATAAAGAAGGAAATGTAGAGGCAATTGAGGCTCTCAATTTGAGAAGTTGTGTAATAAACAATAAATGTAACATTAACTGATATACTGTGGGAAATGTGATAGACTTGCTACTCTAGAAGTTTCAGAATGCAGGAAGTCTGTAACGTACAAGGACTCCAAACTTGGCAACGTTAAAACTTGTGGAATTCAACTTCCCGAATTCCTCAGCCAGCCATGTTGGTTAGTGAATTCTGGGAGTTGAAGTCCACAAGTCTTAACGTTGCCAAATTTGGAAACCCCTGATGCAGAAAACAAAATTTTGTAGGAACTCCGTGGAAGCTCTGACTGATCACAAATAGTGAATCAGTTATGCTTGTCCTTTCTTGGGGAAAGACATCTTAAAATGTTATAATCTAACAATACAACATTATTGGAAGAACAGGTAGATTATTTCTAAATGGGCCTATATATTTTCCATCATCTTCATTGACCAGTGGTAGAGGCCTTTTAACATAAGGGGTACTTTATTACAGAATTTGCTAACAAATTATTATTATTATTATTATTATTTGTTAGGAAATTCTGTATTAAACCTGCAAAACATTTAGCTTCTAAAACTGTTTTCATGGATTCAGTTGGGGGATTACTACTTTCTTGGTCAAATGGAATGATAGTGACCAGCTACTTAAAAGTTTTGCTTAATGGCCAAACTCATTTGCTCTGTATCTTGTGAAGAGAGGCTGCAGAAAATAGGGTTGTTTAGTTTTGAGAAGTTAAACTTTTTGGGGAAGTTAAACAGAAGGTCTATATCAGTGTTTCTCAACCTTGACAATTTTAAGGCATGTGGACTTCAACTTCCAGAATTCCACAGAATGCTGGCTGTGGAATTCTGGGAGTTGAAGTCCACATGCCTTAAAATTGTCAAGGTTGAGAAACACCGGTCTATATCATCCCAGAATGTAGTATTTAAATTAAAGGGTTTAAATTATAGGAAGGCAGATTCTGACTGAACATATTAACAGATAGGAATGTTCAGCATTGTCATGTATGGGGACAGAAATTACCTGTTATGTGTTCCCCATTCAAAATGTTTGGCTCCTTGAGCAGAATCTCTTGTCTCTTGTGTATAGAGAGTCTACATCAGCCACTGGACATCTGTGAAGTAGTCACTCTCCCTAAGTCTGATCTACTCTACAATTTTCAGCAAAACCTGGAGATGGAACTACCACGTAGGTCTCCTTGAAGTCCTAGAGAAAAAGGCAAGAGGTAGACCCCTAATGTGAAAAGACTTTCCAATAAAGAAACAGTTCCCACCACTTGAGATTGCCTAGGATTTTAATTCATCTTACAGATTTTTGCCAGGCTGACCCAAGGCTTAACTAAACTTGCTGTGAGGCCTGCTTTGAAGGAAGAGATGGGTTTCCCTTTCCTACCTCGGTTAGAATTCTGGCAGAAATGAAAATAACATTCCACCTGTGTCTCTGCAGAAACGAAAGAGAAATAAGGTGTTTTGTTTTTTGTGTTTTTTTTTTACAGAAGAAGGGAGTAGTAGTATGCTTTTCATTGGAGGGATGAGAATGTGGTTTCTTTGAAGCACAAGATATGGAGTGGAGGAAAGAGGCCTTAAGTAGATTTGTTTAATCCTGTCTACATATAGGTAAAATCAAAGTGGTGGTTCAATGTTTAGGGATAAGTCAGTATGAAGCAGCAAAGAGAAAAGAACCTTTGTCAAATGGACTAGCCACAGGGTTCAAATGAATACTGGCAACGAAAGTTCTTCCTACTTTTAATCTTGTTTCACTTGTCCTTCTTGGTGCTCTTGATCTTAGTTCACGTGGTGCACACGTGCATTAAATGTGCCTCTGTCCGCTCCATCTGGATAGATAGCTGTGTGCTCATTAGCTGGGACGGAGAGTTGGGACTGGCAGAGAATATGCAGTCCTCTGGGAACTTGGTTGCAGAAAAAGGTTGGAGTCCTCCACAACCAAAGCCAAACCTTCCATCCTCCACTTTATCCTGCCCTTAAAAGTTTAGGGTGTTGGCAAACCGATGCTGTCTTTGCATTTTATTGTCAATTCTGTCCTATAAGCCAGAGGTCCCCAACCTTTTGGCCACCAGGGACCGATTCCGTGGAGAGAAGTTTTTTCCGTGGACCGGAGGGGGTGTGGTTTTGTGTGCTGCCTGCATCCCGCGGATGAGGCTTTTCTTGTTGGTGCGGACCAGTTGCTGGCATGCCGCAGCCCTGTACTGGTCCACAGACCGGAGGTTGGGGACCACTGCTATAAGCAACTTGAGGGGAAAATGAATACAATATATGGATAAAGAAAGTGCTTTTCTAGGCCCTTGCCAAAATTAGACTGTAACTAGATATGCCTCCCCTGAGATTGCACAAGAGTGAAGTTCCAGCAGTGATAAAGCTGTTCATTTGCTTGGGTGGCTTCCCAAAATCATACAAAATACATTCTTTCCCATTAATGCATAAAAGGGATGTACAGCTCTTTGAATCCCAAACAAGAAGATACTTGTCTTGGGATCCGCACAGTCTGTCAGCGGCACCTTAAAGAGGCCGCTCCCTTTTTCTGATCTTCACAGCTCCTGCACGTAACCAGAAGTCAAAGCTTTCGAAGTGCTACTAGAAAGCACAGTGAACATGGCCGTGTACAAAGCACGAGATACAAGTGCAGCACCTTTCTAACACAGAGCCTAAATCTCTGGACAGAAACTTGTGGTAATTAGCTCCTTCATGTAAATCTTCCCTAATTTGGATTTGGATTGCCCTCTTTAACTTTTGGAATTCTTGGCAGAATGTTTCCTTACATTGAAGATGGAGGCTAGAACGTGCCGTTCTGAAGATGTTAGGCACACTTTATAGATCCATCTCAATTTAAGAAGAAACCAGGGAGGATTGACCCTTGATAATAAGAATACTTTTATTAATTGCTTCTGAACTGAAGTCTGCTGGGCTTCTTGCATTGATCTTGCCTGTGCCACTGCTTGTATTGACAAAAGCATATATCAGAATGGCAGATTGTGTTTTCCTGAGAATGCTGCTGGGAACAGAACTAAGGTAGGACTAAAGTTGGCATTGTTTAAAAGATGCTTGATGCTGGAAAAAGTGGAAATGAAAGTAGTTTGAGCTGACTTGTGCTGAAGGCCATTGCATCTTTTAAAAGACAAAATTATTTTCATATATCCAATTCTCAATACATCTGTTTTCGGAGATAGTGGGCTATGGTAGGCTAATGGTAAAAATATCTCCCTTTTCCTTGATTCTCTTAATTTTTGCTTTTCAGGAAAGTGTTTTTTTTTTAAGTGTTGTTAACATGTTTTATTTGTTGCCGAAATATGCCTAGGAGGATGAATCTGAGGTTTCCCAGTATGCCCCACGCTGGTAGCTTTTCATTCTGAGAAAGTGGTACTTGGGCAGATGATGCCCAAAAGACGTGTGCATTTGTACTTTCTTTGCAGTTGGTTATACATGTAAAAGCTGTGAAATCTTGACTTGTTTTCCTTTTGCTGACCATTTTTTTCTCCCTTTCCCTGGCCGGGGCAGCAAGGTTAGCGTTTCTGCTGCGTGGGTGAGCTATGGCCAGCAACGTCACCAACAAGACAGATCCCCGTTCCTTAAATTCCCGTGTCTTCATCGGAAACCTCAATACCCTCGTGGTCAAGAAATCCGATGTGGAAGCCATCTTCTCCAAGTACGGCAAGATTGTGGGTTGCTCCGTGCACAAGGGCTTTGCGTTTGTGCAGTATGTGAACGAGCGCAACGCCCGCTCTGCAGTAGCGGGAGAGGATGGCAGGATGATAGCCGGCCAGGTCCTTGGTAAGTTGGCGACTTCCCAGGTTGGCTCCTCTGTTCTTCGTCCCAACGAAATCGCTGGCGCGGTTCTTCTAGCAAAGGAGAACTTTGGCTGGTTTCCCTTTTGCCTTGTTCAACCTGGGGTCTGCAAACAGAGCCCAGCTGGTTCCCTGTGTAAACAACCTGTATTGCGACCTCTTTTTTTTTTTTTCCTTCCTGTTAAGAGATTTCTGGTATTGTACGAATAGAAAACAGTGAGTGAAAAAAAGGTGCAAGCAATTAATGAAATATTGGAGAGGGAAGTAGTTTCAACCTTCCTATGGAGTAGATTTCTGATCTGACCTACCTGATCGGGCTGACAAGCAGACACAGAAAGCAGATTTTATGATGTAGAACTCTTTATCTAAACGGAGATGTTATTCTTGGCCTGTCTTTGTCTTCATCTGGAGAACAAGAGGGTAAATTCAAAGAACGTGCAACAGTCGACTTGATTTACATCTTTCCTGGAAACGTAGAGAAAAACACACACACACACACACACACACACACACACACGGCTTTATTTTTAAAGGTCTTGCTTCACTGAGACACACTTAAGAATGGTGGACTTTGTCTGAAACCCAATTGCTAAAATCTCATCCCCACCAGAACGCAGATTAATTCCTCGCCTGGCTATTTACAGCTCGGCAAATGAGTCCACCAGAACAAGTAGCTCACAGGTGTTTTCAGATCGTCTGGCCTGCCGCGTTTGACATATTAAAAAAAAAAAGTTGGAAACAAAGAAGAAATTCATGGTTTCCCCCCCCCCCCTTCAAGAAAAACTCCCCATTTCCCAACCGTTGTTGGGACCTATTAATGTCAAATACAAAAACGTATTCTAGTTCAGACATGCTCAAGCCTTGCTGAAGAGGATTTCCCCCCCCCCTTTTCAGAAGACAACATTGTTTTTCCTGCCAGCAGGAGACAAAATTGCTGTTATTTTCCCCTGCTCAATATCCCAACCCCCTCTTAGGAAGAAGATTTTTAGTTTATTTTCTCGCCTAGCCAGTTGCTTCTGAAAGATGATAAGCGTAACATTCAGAGGCTCAGTTTACCTACTGTTTTCTTCAGCAACAAAGGAAGGGCTAGTTTTCTATGTAAACGGAGCCTCTAAATCAGTGGTTCTCAACCTGTGGGTCGGGACCCCATTTGGGGTCGAACAACCATTTCCATTTTTTCCCCCTTTCCTTAGCTGTGTTACTCCCTTTTATTCTATTGGCTTTTGAAAGCCAATAGAATAGACTCTCTTGAATAGAGTCTAATTCTATTGGCTTTCAAAAGCCAATAGGAATTGTCCAGGCTGTCTCTGCCCTGCTGAGCCCGCCAAAAGTCCCATTCTGCAAACGGTGCTGCACCAGTTGAGTAGTCCTCGACTTACGACCAGTTGAGTAGTCCTCGACTTATGACCGGTTGGGGGGGTCACGGCATTAAAAAGGTTAAGAACCACTGCTCTAAATGTTGTGTTTATTAGCACGCTACACAGTTTAGAAGCAGGGGTAGTCAACCTTGGCTCTTTTATGACTCGTGGATTTCAACTCCCAGAATTCTTGAGCCAGCACAGCTGGCTCAGAAATTCTGGGAGTTGAAGTCCACGAGTCATAAAAGAGCCAAGGTTGACTTACCCCTGGTTTAGATCCTCCTCTTGCTAGGTAAGCAAGTCTTTTAGCCCCAAACTGCCCTTGCTTTTTATGTGGTATTCCATAGCTTGCAAGAAAGTACTGCTAGTCCTCGACTTATAACCATAATGGAGCCGAAACGTCTGTTGTTAAGTGAGACATTTGTTAAAATGAGTTTTGCCTCATTTTACAATCTTTCTTGCCAACTGTGGTTAAGTGGACAGTTAAATCAGGTGTCAAATTGCCAGCCTGCAGGCCAGAGGCATCACGCGGAAGCCGTGCCTGCTCCAGCAACGGGGAAAAAGTTGCAATACGTCGCGACACGTCACGTGAGGCGGCGAGTTGGACACCCCTGAGTTAAATCGTTAAGCGATGCACTGCAGTTGTTAAGTTAGCTACATGGTTGTTAAGTGAATCTGGCTTCCCCATTGACTTTGCTTGTCAGAAGGTTGCAAAAGGGGATCACGTGACCCAGGGACACTGCAAGCGTCCTAAATACGAGTCAGTTGCCAAGCGTTTGAATTTGATCATGTGACCATGGGGGTGCCGCAAGGGTTGTGTGAAAAACGGCCGTAAGTCACTTTTTTCATTGCCGTTGGAACTTTGAATGGTCGCTGAGTGGACTGTTGTACACCGAGGACTACCTGTATTTGTTTCTCGGTTCCGTGACTGCTTTTGGATGGCAGACCTGACGCCCTGTATAGCTTCCAGACGGTTGACCTCTGTGAGTGGGTCATTCTCTTTCTCCCCCTCTGCTCCCGTTCCAGGCCGCGTGCCAAGGATATTAACTGGGTGTCGTGCCTCAACATGTAAGGAGATATTTGCAGGCACACTGCTAGGCGCCATGTTAGGAAGATGTTAGGCCAGACATGTCAAACACAAGTGGTTTCATGTGGCCCGCGAAGCCATCCTGGAAACAGTGAGGGAACGGCCTCCGCTGCCTTGGCCCTGGCCCAGGCCGGCCGGGAGCCAGTGTACAATTTTGTGGTGGCCATCTATGCTGAAACGCATTCAGTCTTAGCTCCACAAGGCTGTCTGGAAACAGCGAGGAACCAGCCCCTGCCGCGTTGGCCCCGCCCCCTGGGTGCGTGCTGGGGAGGTGTCACCCTTTGTGAGGAATGAAGAAATGGACCATGCCTTGGCGCTTGCCCCGGTCGCACCCCCTTCTGCCAGAGACTCTCAGATCTATCCCACTCCTGCCCAGGCCCCCACAGGTACCCGTGATGTGAACGATGTAGAGCTGGCCATGCCCTACCAGTAGGCCACACCCACTCCATTCACACCCACTCAGTAGGCTGCACCCACCCTGGCCACACACCCACCCTGGGCAATCACAATGCTGATGCAGCCCTCAATGAAATTGAGTTTGACACCCCTGTATTAGGCTCTCTCTACGTTGGATGCCACCCTACTTAGATGAGCCATGGTAGGTGTTTAGAGGACAGTACTGCAGGCTAATTCACTGCTGACTTCTGGGAGTTCGATTCTGACCGGCTCAAGGTTGACTCGGCCTTCCATCCTTCTGAGGTTGATAACATGCGGACCAGATTGTTGGGGGCAATATACTGACTCTGTAAAACCGCTTAAGAGAGGCCTGTAGAGCTCTATGAAGCGGTATATAAGTCTAAGTGCTATTGCTACTTTAATTTGGATTAGAATCTACAGCCTCCAAGGCTTTCCCAGTTCTTAAAAATTTACAAACGTTTTAGATAACAGAATAACAGAGTTGGAAGGGATATTGGAGGTCTTCTAGTCCAACCCCCTGCTCAGTCGGAAGATCTCGTACCATGTTAGGCAAATGGCTGTCCAGTCTCTTCTTAAAAACCTCCAGTGTTGGAACACCCACAACTTCTGGAGGCAAGTTGTTCCACTGAGTAATTGTTCTGTCAGGGAATTCCTCCTTAGTTTAAGGTTGGGTCTCCTTGTTTAGTTTCTATATATTACTTCTTGTCCTGCGTTCATATAAAGCAATGCTGATCTAACTTATTGATGATCAAGGCTGAGAGTGGTGTGATTGAATTCAGAAAGGAACATGCTTGAATCTATGCATTGAAATGCTAAACTCAAAATGACACGTAGATTTGGGAAGAGCGATTCATTGTATACATGGAAAAAGGTTCTAGGCATCTATTGGATAATATGCTGAATAAGAGACAGTAATGTGGTTGCTTCAGCATTAACATAAATAGGTTGCCTTAGGACAGTGGTGGCGAACCTATGGCACGGATGCCAGAGGCAGTACTCAGAGCCCTTTCTGTGGGCACGCACATCGTCGCCCCAGTCCTAGGCCTTCAGCTGGGTTTTATAAAACCTTTTTGCTTTAGGCCTCTGCTGCCATGTGCAAAAAAAAAAAAAGGTTCAATCAATCAATCAATTTCAACTTCTCATGGGGAAAAAAAAGATCTCTGCAAAGTTTGAATTGATTGATTGAACTTTTTAGTCCCACCCAGTCTGCCATTACCACCGCAGCCATGCCCACTGAATGCCCACATCCACCCAATTGGCCACACCCAGCCAATGGGCCACACCCACCTGGCACCCAAAGATGCGTAAGTGGGTTTTGGGTTGCAGTTTGGGCACTCGGTCTCTAAAAGGTTTTCCATCACTGCCTTAGGAGAAGATTGCTATCCAGATCAGGAAAAGTACAGTTCTGGTCTGTTCAGTTCTGGGCAGACTACATTTGAAGTTTTTGCCTTTGGATCAAGGCTCTACAATTTAAGAAGAATAATGGCCACTTACATAATGTTTTAAAAAGCTGGAATTTTTTTGCTGGGATTGAAGCATGGAGTACAAGGGCAGCTTCCAATATTTGAAAGGTAGTCAGGCAGAATATAGAGCCAAGTTATTCTCAGCACAGGAACAGTGCATATGGAAAGCAGATTTGGACTAAACCTTAAAGTATACAACAGCGCCGTTTAAAAGTGGAGCACAGTCCTGTAGAAGTGGGTGGACTTTTGTGAGACTAGTCCGAAGCTGCCATAGCTAAAGATGAAGCAGGCATGTGACGCAGGGAGGACAAAAAAACAACAACCAGGAATCTTATTCAAAAGATCTCCTCAGGGAACTAAGGAAACAAATGGGAAATATGTCACCAGACAAAGGAAGTTGGGCCTGAATGAAATCCCATCAACAGCTTGAAGCCCACCCACTCCTTTGCATTCAGAGCTTCCATCCCCGTAGTTAGTGGCTGGCAGCCTAGTTAAGAAGCACGGATGTGTGGGCGGTTGTGCGAAAGGACAAATGCACAGTGTAACAAATGACTGTTCTTGCTGTTACTTGAAATTCCCTGGAGGAAATGAATGCATTCTGTGTATTCCAAAGAAGAGATTGCGCCTCGGTGTTTGGCTGAAAGTGATTTGAGTCTCTCTAATTATTTCCCAGCCATTGATCAAGGCTGTGTGTTGTCTGCCTTGCCTAGCCTTGCCTATCTGGAGAATCCAGGTAGGAAGCAAGGGGGGGGGGGCTTGCAAGATCTGCATGCCTTGACAGGCTGTGTGAATGAGTGACGGTAAACTGAACCCAAGAGTGTGCGTAACACTTTCCTTTTCCAGATATTATAAGTAAAGGCAGCTGGTAGATATCAATATTTCCGGCCAGCCTTCACCAATTAGGTAATAACCCTAATCTCCCAGATTCCTCTGATCATTATCTAGGGCAGTGTTTCTCAACCTTGACAATTTTAAGGCATGTGGACTTCAACTCTCAGAATTCCACAGCCAGCATTGCTGGCTGTGGAATTCTGGGAGTTGAAGTCCACATGCCTTAAAATTGTCAAGGTTGAGAAACACTGATCTAGAGACTTCTGGGAAAGTGTGTTCTCCTTGGGCGAGAAACGTTGCTGCATTGCCTGGTGTGACAGAACTTTTAATTTCTCCAGCAGCCTGTGGAGGTCCTCAGGTTTCAAACTGCTTCTGTGTCTTGTTCAGATATTAATCTGGCTGCGGAGCCGAAGTTGAACCGGGGTAAAGCTGGGGTGAAGAGATCGGCCACGGAGATGTACGGGTCAGTAGCCGCACCACCTTCTCCGTCCCCTCTAGTCAGGTTGGGATTCTTACGTTTTCATTATTTTTAACTTCGCTTTTTTATTTACTTACTTAATTTACTTCTCTGGTTCGGAATGGGCCCTGGAATGAGCATTTGGGCGCAAGTTGCTGGGTGCAAGGTGCAATATCTGACTATGTTTGTAGATGGTGTGTGCGTGCGTGCGTGTGTGTGTGTGTGCGTGCAATCCACGTGACTGTAAGAAACCGCAGTGTGACTTTTGATGTATTTGGGCTGAGGAAACTGATAACACTGTTGGATCACGGTGCCAAGCAGCAGATGGCTTTGAAGCAAGGGGTGGCTGTGGAAGGGGGGAAATTGGGGGGGACCCTGCTTGCTTTCACTTTTGCATTGTGACTAAAAACTGTTTGACTTTTGCTATGTTGGGCTGTGAGCAGACTCCTCCTGCTGATAGTTTAAAAAGGATGGTCTGTGATCCCCAGCCCTTTGGAAGGGGGGCTGTGGTCCCCAGCCTCCCTTGAGACCTGACCGTGTGCTCCGTGGTTTTGTCTTTCAGGTCTTCATTTGACCTTGATTATGACTTCCAGCGCGACTATTATGACAGGTATGTGGTGTCAAGTTGCTCTGCTCTGTTTTGTATTTTCAACTCTGGTGGGTCAACACAGCTCTGAACTGAGATCAGAGCCATAGAAACAAACAACTTAGGGGCTCCATTCACCCCCCATCCCAAAGCCTTCAGTGTGGCCCTCAGAAAACTCCCAAAGTTGTTGTTGCCTAATTGCACAGGAAGCCTAAGATTTGTGTGTGTGTGTATGTGTGTATGAGAGAGAGAGGGAGAGATATTATCAAATACATGACTGGAGAATAGAAATATTGTATTCCATTTTAATTAAAAGTTAAATTAGATTTTATCTTAGCCCCGCAAAATTGTTTTTGCATTAATACCTTCAGGACACCGCTCAAAAGAAAGGCTAGATGCAGTTCTTTGCAAAAAAAAAATAAAAATTATTGCGCTTCTGACGCAACAGCTTCTTTTCAACAGTTCTACTAAAGAGCAGCATGATGGCCATCTCTGTTTCTGGAGATCGATGCATAGCTCATTCTCAGAAATGTAATTTTTGCCTGTTGAGCAATAGCAAGTGTTGTAGCCACGGCCAAAGCTGCAGAGGGGCGGATGGGGGGGGGGAGGAAAGAAGGTGGAGGCAGTGCTTCAAAGGGATGGGGACTTGGTTCATGGAATGCTCCTGGAGGGTTCCCCTAGCCCAGGGGTAGGCCACCTTGGCTCTTTTATGACTCGTGGACTTCCACTCCCAGAATTCCTGAGCCAGCCTGGCTCAGCTTGGAAACCTCTCCCTTTCCCCTCAGCATGGCTGGCTCAGGAATTCTGGGAGTTGAAGTCCACGTGTCATAAGAGAGCCAAGGTTCCCCACCCCTGCCCTATATCAGGGGTCCTCAGTCTTGGCAACTTTATGACGTGTGGACTTCAACTCCCAGAATTCCTGAGCCAGCATGGCTCAGCTTGGAAACCTCCCTTTCCCCTCAGCATGGCTGGCTCAGGAATTCTGGGAGTTGAAGTCCACGTGTCATAAGAGAGCCAAGGTGGCCTACCCCTGGGCCTAGTGAGATGTCTGAAACGCTGAATTTCCTGCAGATTTAGCCAAAGGAAAAAGGCTGAGAAAGAACCACAGCTTTGAGGGAGGATATCAATTAGGGATGAAGTTCTTTTTCTGCCTGACATCTTCAGATAGGTTGGAACATCTAGAGCAGTGGTTCTCAACCTTTTTAATGCCGCAACTACTCAACTGGTCATAAGTCGAGGACTACTCAACTGGTGCAGCACTGTTTGCAGAATGGGACTTTTGGTGGGCTTAGTAGGGCAGAGACAGCCTGGACAATTCCTATTGGCTTTTGAAAGCCAATAGAATTAGACTATTCAAGAGAGTTGAGCAGAGGGTTGAGCAGAGGGTTGGACTAGAAGACCTCCAAGGTCCCTTCCAGCTCTATTTTGTTTCCAAAATAGTTCTGGACCGCCTTCTTTAGGCGATGGATATATTTCTGAGCCCTGGGTGCTACAGAAAGAGCTGTGCTGTTTTGAAAGGAGCACATAATGCCCTCAATTAGCTTATCCAATTAAAAGAAGGTATTTTGAGAAACCTGAGAAGAGATTTGCACGGGAGGCAGGTTGGTGGATTTGCCAACCAGTTTTGAAGCTAAGGGTTTTTTTTTTCCCTCCCCCTTTTCGGATTCTCCTAGGATGTACAGCTACCAAGCACGAGTGCCCCCTCCGCCCCCCATTGCCAGGGCGGTGGTCCCTTCCAAACGCCAGCGGGTTTCTGGCAACACCTCTCGTAGAGGAAAGAGCGGATTCAACTCGAAGAGCGGGCAGCGGGGATCGTCCTCCAAATCTGGGAAATGTAGGTGTCAGACATTGAGCAGGGTCTGTAGCAAATGTGGGCGGCGGGGGTGGTGGTAGTGGTGGTGGAGGTTTTTTGTATTATTTAAATTGGGCTATTCAAAAATATGCCCTCCTCCCGGTTTCAATCCGGCTGCTGCTGCTGCGCTGAAAACATTCTGCAATGCCTCTTTAGCACGAGGGAGGATGGCTTTTAGGAAAAAAAGAAGGTGGATTTTTTTTTTTTAATCTGCCTTTTGTAGGGTTCCTTGAGTATTTTATGCTTATTAATAATACCCCAGGGGGCTGAAACTTCCACTGATTTGAGTTTTCCTTCTGCGTTGCAGTAAAAGGAGATGACTTGCAAGCCATTAAGAAGGAACTGACCCAGATTAAGCTGAAAGTGGATTCTCTGCTGGAAAGCCTTGAGAAGATAGAGAAGGATCAAAGTAAGTGGGGGAGGGGGGAGGGGAAGGGAGGGGAGAGATAAACTGTCTGGAGAGCTGCGTGGGATGCATGCTAGGAAAGGTGGCTTGAAAGATTGGTGTAGAGCAGGGGTGTCAAACTCAATTTCATTGAGGGCCGCATCAGCATTGCGGTTGCCCTGGGGGTGTGTGGCCAGAGTGGGTGCAGCCTACTGGGTGGGCGTGGATGGAGTGGGTGTGGCCTACTGGGTGGGCGTGGCCAGTTCTACATCATTCCCATCAAGGGTGCCTGTGGGGGCCTGGGCAGGAGTGGGACAGATCTGAGGGTCTCTGGCAGAAGGGGGTGGGACCGGGGCAAGTGCCAAGGCATGGTCCACCGGGGCCAGTGTCAAGATGGCCACTACAAAATTGTACATTGGCTCCCGGCCGGCCTGGGCCAGGGCCAAGGCAGCGGGGGCCGTTCCCTCACTGTTTCCAGGATGGCTTCGCGGGCCACATGAAACCATTTCGTGGGGCGCATCCAGCGTCCCCCCCCCTCCCCGGGCCTTGTGTTTGACATGTGTGGTGTAGAGGGAGAAAGAAATTGGGGATCACAAGATTCATATTTGAATGTGGACACGTTTTATGTCAGGAAGGGGCAGTTTTCTCGGCCAGCAGACAGGTGGAATTTGGGACATTTATAGGTACCCGGTGGGCTTCTCTACTTACGGTACAGCTTTTCATGCTGTAACCCTTAAAATCCTTCCTGTTAACCTCTTCCGGTCCGCCCCCCCCCCCCAAGATATTCTTACCCCCAGCTTAGATTCTTCCGTGCCTGACGGAAAAGCTTCCTACAGCAGCTTTTCGAGCAGAGCGAACTGCAGAAGCTGCTGTTTCCCAAAAGTATTGCTAACTATTGGCCCATTTTGTGGGATGGTTGAAAGGGGGGGGGGAGTTTGGACCGTCTTTCATAACGCTTAGGCCCTCCCCCCCCCTTCGGAGTTTCCACTGCTGGGAAATAGAGGCAGGAGGCCCAAATGGTGGTGGGCGAAGCCAAATCCGTCCAGCGTTCTGATTCTCTGCCGCCCCCTCCCGTCCCTCCCTCCCTCCCTAGAGCTGAAGAACGACAAGTCGGAGGAAGAGCAAAGCAGCAGCTCGACTAAGAAAGAGGAGAGCAATGTGAAGCTGGAGTCCGAGGCTGGGGCCGACGACTCTGCTGAGGAAGGGGACCTGCTGGACGACGATGACAACGAAGACCGGGGAGACGACCAGGTACGAAGCTGGAGGAAGCAGAGAGCCTGGAGTGAGGATGGCGGTTCTCCCGGTTCGCTAACTCGGCTCTTCTGCCTGTCCCCTTCTCTCTCTCAGTTGGAGTCCATCAAGGGCGACGACAAGGAGCCGGAAGAAGGGGAAGACGACAGAGACAGTGCCAATGGCGAAGACGACTCCTAAGAACCCGGCATAGCTCTCCTCTCTGTGCTCCTTGGCCCCACGTGGCGTTCCTCTGATTGAGCCTCCCCCCCCCCATCTCCTCTCCCCCATTTGCTGGCTGCTTCCTCACTGCCCTCCTCCCCTCTCGCAGCCCTGTGTGTTTTGCGGATGTCGTGTCTTCTGTTGCATCTGCCCTCCTCCTTCTTCCCACCTCCCTTCCCTTCATCGGCTCTTCTACTTTCCGTTCCATCCCTTGTAATTTTTTCCTCTTTTAATTTTGATACCTCTTTATTGACTTAACAATAAAAAAAAGACGTATTGTTTTTAGACGACTCGTTTGATGTGCAGTTGGGGAGAACGGAGCGTGGGCTGAGGGGAAGGAAGCGCGTTGTATGCAGCGGGTTATTCTTTTGGCAAGTGTATTTTATTTGTTTATTAAATAACGTAGCTTCCCCCATCTTATGGATAGATAACCTCTACTGTCATTTCTTGACTTGAGTGGCACACCTTAAAAACAAAATTCCGTTGCCTGCTCTCAAAAGTGTACGCATAGATTGTTGTTGTTAGTTGCGACGTCGTGTCCGACCCATCGCGACCCCATGGACAACGTTCCTCCAGACCTTCCTGTCCTCTACCATCTTCTGGAGTCCATTTAAACCAGTGGTTCTCAACCTGTGGGTCGGGACCCCATTTGGGGTCGAACAACCATTTCACGGGGGTCGCCAAACAACGCAGCCCGCCATTTTTCCCCCGTTTTCCTTAGCTGTGCTACTCCCTTTTATTCTATTGGCTTTTGAAAGCCAATGGAATAGACTCTCTTGAATAGAGTCTAATTCTATTGGCTTTCAAAAGCCAATAGGAATTGTCCAGGCTGTCTCTGCCCTGCTGAGCCCGCCAAAAGTCCCATTCTGCAAATGGTGCTGCACCAGTTGAGTAGTCCTCGACTTATGACCGGTTGGGGGTCACAGCATTAAAAAGGTTGAGAACCACTGATTTAAACTCAACACCTACTGCTTCAGTGACTCCATCCAGCCACACATATAAACATGCTATATACATACGTATGTATACACCAGGGGTAGGCAACCTTGGCTCTTTTATGACTCGTGGACTTCAACTCCCAGAATTCCTGAACCAGCATGGCTGACTCAGGAATTCTGGGAGTTGAAGTCCACGAGTCATAAAAGCCAAGATTGCCTACCCCTAGTATATACCTATATATCTTTATAATTTAAAGCGGCTCCCAATCAAAAGCCAAAGCAGGGTAAAAGCCATATTAAAACTTTTTAAAAAAAAAAAAAAAAAAAAACCAGCTAACCACATTGAACATAATAAAAACCTGGTGCTAAGTCATCAGACTTCTGATCTGCAGTAACCTCGTGTTATCCCAAGCTTCAAAGCTTTCAAAAAGGCGAGGGAAGGTAGAGGCCTGCCAAATTTCCGGGGGCAGAGTTTCCACAGGACAGGGGCTGCCACCGAAAAGGCAGGCTTCCTAGCCCCCACCCGATGACAATATTTGGGGGACTCAGAGCAGCGTGCCCACCCTATCTGACCTGGTGGGATGGGTTAGATGTCCTCCGGGAAAGAGGATCCCACCAATCACCTGACTTCGGCGTTGGCCACGTTTGGGCTAATACTGGTTCAACCACCAGCTAATGAGCATGTGAGGAAAGTTGCTAGATTCAGGACAGATTGATAGCGGGCCGGAGGAAAAGACCGTCCTCAATTGAACCCCAAATTTATCTCGCTAAGGGAAACATTAGGTGAATTTGCCCCATTTTATGACTTCTTGCCACTGTTAAGCGAAGCATTGCATTTGTTAAGTTAGTAACCTGGTTGTTAAGTGAATCTGGATTTCTCCATTGACTGCTCATCAGGAGGTGGCAAGAGGTGATGACATGGCACACACACACACCACGGACACTCTGAGCATCTGAATTTGGATCGTGTGACCATCGGGATGCTGCAACCGTCACTTTTTTCAGGGCTGTTGTAACTTTGAATGGTCACTAAATGGTAGCCGAGGGCTACCTGTATTTCCAAGAGCACCCCGAGAAAAGACACAGACCTGCTTACCTGGCGTCTGCATTGGATGGGCGGAAGTTGGGCAATATGCAGGTGTTCAGCCATGTATGGGGTTAATGCGCAAAAGGAGCACTTTGAATTGCGCTCGTGACGGGGAACCAGCACAGAACCCCAAAAATCTGTTAACGTGTGTATGTGAAATATATCTTCAACAACCTATCGGCTGTCTTCTGGAGAAGCTTCTACCTAAGTCTTCAAAGGCAGCTCCGCCTCGTGTGCATTTCAGTCCTGTACATGTAGTCCTCGGCTTAACGACCACAATCGAGCCTAACATGTCGCTAAGTGAGACGTAAGGGAACTTTGTCCCATTTTTACGGCCTTTCTTGCCACAGTTGTTAACGTGAATCGCTTCAGTTGTTGGTAACCCAGCCGTTTTAAGTGAATCTGGCTTTCCCATTGACTTTGCTTGTCAGAAGCTCGCCAAAGGGGATGTTGTGACCGCGGGACACTGCAACCGTCATGAGTACCTGCCAGTTGCCGAGCATTTGAATTCGGAGCACTTGCCCACGGGGAGGCTGCGGCAGTCGCAAGTGTGAAAAGCAGTTCATAAGCCCATTTTTCAGTGTCGTGGTAAATGAACAGCTATGAGGACTACCTGTAATTTAGCTGAATGGTGGAAGGGACATGGAGTTAACTGCTTCAAAATCTTCCTGTGTTGGGACTGCAATTTGTACAGCACCCACTTGAGCACAGCCTTCCCACCTAGCCGAAGCCATGGGTCCAGGAGGAGCCCTACCTAAAGGTCACCAGAGTAGCTGGCTAGTGTGTGCACACATTTTCATGCGCTCTCCACCTCTTGCGCCAACGCTACATGAGCCACGAGCCTAGCGCAGCGCTAGCAGCCCCATTTGCGGAGCACGCATGCTCACGGCCCTGCGTGCCCACGCGCAACCACATTAGCATTTGTGTGCTTGTGCGCATAAAGGTGTCTCTCTTTCCCACTGGGTTGCCAAGAAAAGTTGGGGACCCCTGCCCTAAATCATGGAATTGCCCACCGAAAAACAAAAACACAAAGTTTGAATAAGTAGTTCTGTCAATCCAGAGTGTCTGTTCAACCATCTCTCCCCAGCCAGAGTATTAACACAACACGGTGCTCTCAGGTTCAGCTTTTGTTCATTTCACTCACACACACAGCCCTGGAAAAAACATCTAAGCAATATTTATTTGTCGCATGAAGCATCAGGCATTGTGTCCATAATTTTGTTGATTCAGCTCTGCATTGCCTTGGTCTGAACTATGCAAGATGCTTCTGAGTAACCAAATCAGAAACCGCTGAGAATTAGCCCAACATCTTCATAGGAAATATAGCAATAATGTCAAGACTTGACGTTTGAGACTTTGGTGCCTTTCTATGTACTTTGTACTTTGCACAAGCAGGAGCTATTTCTGGCTATCCTAAGTACAGAAAACTGAATGTGTGAAGTCATCCCAGGCAAAGCTTAAGATGTTTTGATTTGCAGCTGTTAAATGCTTCCTTCAGCCAGAGGCGGCATGACAAACGGCATAATTACGACTAAGAGTTGCTTGCTTTGACAAAAATCAAAAGTTACAGCTCCCAGTGCAGGTAGTCCTCAGTTTATGACAATTGAGTCCAAAATTTTGGTCACTAAGCGAGCATGCTAAGTGAATCACTGCAGTTGTTAAGGTAGTAACACGGTTGTTAAGTGAATCTGGCTTCCCCCCATTGACTTTGGTTGTCAGGAGATCACAAAAGGGGATGACGTGACCCCAGGACACTGCGACCGTCATAACTATGAACCAGTTGCCAAGCGTCCGAATTTTGATTACATGACCATTGTAACTTCAGACCGCCATTAAACAAATGATTGTAAGCTGAGAACTCCCTTTATGTGTGCGAACCACAGAGTGATAGTGTATGTATTGATCTAATTAATACAGCATCCTATCTCAGGCAGATGATTATGAGTGAAATATCTGTAGTTCCACATTATTTCAACTCTGGTTTTCATTTCTCTGACTTCTCCCAAGGAAATGCTTTTCCTTGCTTACTGGTTACTATTTGAATGGCTAGCAAAGTTCCATTCTGGAAATATCAATTCTGTACACAGTAAGCCTAAGAACTATTGGTTCTGAGTTCATACATCTTTATCTACACCCATGTGTTATTTTCAGACCTTCCATTTAAGAGTATATAGTGGAATATATGTGTATGTGTATGCAGGGCTTTTTTTCTCATAGAATGCCCAGAACGGAGTTCCGGCACCTTTTTTTTTTAGAAAAAAAGCACTGTATGTGTATGTATGTATGTATGTATGTATGTAGATAGATAGATAGATAGATAGATAGATAGATAGATAGATAGATAGATAGATAGATAGATAGACAGACAGACAGACAGACAGACAGACATACATGCTGTATAACGGAGTCCGAACAGGAAATCAATGAGATTAGTCCTATCTCACCTTATTAGATTTTACCTGGCGAACTTTTAAATAGTTATTTGTTTCTGCATCCAAGACCTTCTGAGTGTGAGGCTTGCTAATTTAAACATAGGCTGAAATACTGTAAGAGAACAATTCCATTGAGAAGCAGTCCACAAAGAATGAAAATGCAAATATAAACGTTCTATCGAATTAAGCTTTAGCATCTATATTTACATAGACGCTAAAGCTTAATTTATATAGTTTAGTATCTATATTTGTATATTGATGCTAAAGCTTAATTTATATAGTTTAGAATAGATTCTAAACTATAGCTCTGGGGAAGCTAACAATGGCGCCGAGAAGCCTTTCTCTAGTTAGGTCTACCCATACGCTGATTGGCTAGTTTGAAACGCACTGCGCAGCATTGAATTGGACAGCCTTTATTATGCAAAATAACAATGGGAGTAGCTTAGCTTGCAAGGTTTCCTTCTGGTCGGGAAGCTCCCTATATAAGCCGTCCGCCTGTTCCGCAGCAAACACTTTCTTCTCTGAGCTCCTTGTTGTGTGTGTCTTCTGTTGAGATGTCTGGTCGCGGAAAAGGAGGCAAAGGCCTGGGGAAAGGAGGCGCCAAGAGGCACCGGAAAGTTCTTCGGGACAACATCCAGGGCATCACCAAGCCTGCGATCCGCCGTCTGGCTCGTCGCGGAGGCGTGAAGCGCATTTCGGGCCTGATCTACGAGGAAACACGCGGCGTGCTGAAGGTCTTCCTGGAGAACGTGATTCGCGATGCCGTCACCTACACCGAGCACGCCAAGAGGAAGACGGTCACCGCCATGGACGTGGTCTACGCCTTGAAGCGCCAGGGCCGCACTCTCTACGGCTTCGGCGGCTAAAGCTTTCGAAAAGTTATTTTAACGACTAACAAACAAGAAAAAGAAAGGCCCTTTTAAGGGCCACTCAAATTTTCTATTAAAAAAGCTGTTGGTCACGATTTAAATTTCAAAAGAAAAGCTGCGTGTTAAGAGGAATTTACTAAAAAGTAAAGGAAAAAAAGACTCGGCCCACCGAGTCTTTCTGCCGTCAATTTTATGTTTCTACGTTAACTATTACTGGTGCCTTTTTAGCTTCTATACGGCTATTAGCGTCGTTTCCCATATTCTGAATCTTATTTCACCCGAGCTAGAAAAATCGTATTAGTGGTGAGGATTTACTATTGTAAGAATAAACTTTGAGATTTCTGGAGTAAGGTTTCTGGGATAACTTAACAGTTTTTAAAAAAAGAACTAGAGAAATGTTCATGTAAATCGGGCCGTAGAGATTTGCTTTCATACGAGATGCTGTGTTCGTTTGCTCACGTGTTATTTTGTGGGGTGGGTTCTCAACTGCAAAACTCAAGCAATGCCTCGTATAATGTAATTAGGTTAAACGCATTGAAAACCTTTTAAATAAAACGAGTCATCTCCTGCCGAAACCCGGGATCGAACCAGGGACCTTTAGATCTTCAGTCTAACGCTCTCCCAACTGAGCTATTTCGGCTTCATGGAATAGGTTAGTTTTCTCTTCTGAGTTGACATCCTAATAAATAATAATAATAATAATAATAATAATAATAATAATAATAATAATAAGTAGTAGTAGTAGTAATAGTAATAATAATAAAATTGGAAGTGACCTTGGAGGTCATCTAGTCCAACCCCCTGTTTAGGCAGGAAAGCCTATACCATTTCAGACAAATGGCTGTCCGGTCTCTTCTTGAAAACTTCCAGTGAAATATTTCTCAGATTTAATTTAGTTGTGGCATAATTATGTTAAATAATTTATATACTGGATAACTAATTGTCCCGGTATACAGGAAGCACACAGAAAAAAAAAAGGCCGGGGGGGGGGGAAAACTTAAAACACACAAGATTTTCCAAAAGAAATATCTCCAAGCAAAACAGGTAAAGGTATTATTGCTACGAGATTTCTACTTGGTCCTTCTAGCCCAGTGTTTCTCAACCTTGACCATTTTAAGGCATGTGGACTTCAACTCCCAGAATTCCACAGCCAGCAATGCTGGCTGTGGAATTCTGGGAGTTGAAGTCCACATGCCTTAAAATGGTCAAGGTTGAGAAACACTGTTCTAGCCAGCCGCTATTCTCAAAAGAGCCAATGAGACGTTCGGACTAAGAGCAACCAATGGAATGCCAAGACTCGATATAATTGAAGGCTTCGTGGCTTCTCTTCCAATAGCATAACGCTAGGGCGCTTCTCCACCAATAGCACCTGAGGATTTTGAAACGGTTCATTTGCATATGTGCCCTATAAATAAAGGAAAGGTGTTTCCTTGTCCTTCACTCTTTAAACGGTGATCTCTCGCTGCTCAGGATGCCTGAGCCGGCCAAGTCTGCCCCGGTGCCCAAGAAGGGCTCCAAGAAGGCCATCACCAAGACGCAGAAGAAGGGCGACAAGAAGCGCAAGAAGAGCCGCAAGGAGAGCTACTCCATCTACGTCTACAAGGTGCTCAAGCAGGTCCACCCCGACACCGGCATCTCCTCCAAGGCCATGAGCATCATGAACTCCTTCGTCAACGACATCTTCGAGCGCATCGCGGCCGAGGCCTCCCGCCTGGCCCACTACAACAAGCGCTCCACCATCACCTCCCGCGAGGTCCAGACGGCCGTCCGCCTCCTCCTGCCGGGAGAGCTGGCCAAGCACGCTGTCTCCGAGGGCACCAAGGCCGTCACCAAGTACACCAGCTCCAAGTAGCTTTTTCTTCCCACGTTGAAATTCCCCTTTATCGCAGCAAAGGCTCTTTTAAGAGCCACCCACTTTCTCAAAAAAAAAAAAAAGCTGTTGCGCTAGACCAAGTTTTCAGCACCGGTTTTGCAAAATGGTTTTGTTGTGGAAAACCACAATACCTACATCAGAAGACAAGACCACAAAGGGCTGGAGAAAACAGGTTTTTATTTGTGCACAATGGTTCAGAGCATTCGCATGACCAATTCTGAACCCTGAGCTACTCTCGGGGAGTAATTCTTATAGCATTAACCACCCACGCCTTAGCCTTAGGGTGGCTCTTATCTACCTTTGACACACTATAAAAAAATTTATATCTTGAAACTACATAAGTAAAATGGAGAAGTTGACACAAACAGGTGTGTTACCACACCTCTCTACACGGGTGCTATCTTACAACATCTGTGACTTTCAGTTGACACTGACATTACTTGTAAAATGGTTTCTACATAGCATGAACACATCTCTATAATTATGACACAGGTTATATTATTTAGGTTACATTACACAGCCAAGCTTAATAGCTATTATCTATTATCAACATCCAGCATTCCTATTAAGATATAGATATATTTTGATAAACTTTTTCCTGCGCACCTCAGTTCGATTCCATCAACCTTGGCTTCTATAACAAATGAGGCATTCCTAGAAAACGCTTAAATCCGTAGGAAAATATATTTTTAGCTGCCTTGCGTTTGAATTCTGCTGTGGCAAATTCTTCAACTTAAAAGTTTTCCCAACCTTCTCCTGGGCTAATAAAAAGCAACCGGGACAGGCAGTGCCAAAAATTAGTGGGTGGTTTTCAAAGGTAGATATTTAAAATCTGCTAAGGAAAATGATTTGAGTTGGGTTGAGTAGAACGTTGGCTTTGCTTTTGTGCTCTTTTAAGTACAACGTGGCTTGCCTGAAAGATTTGCTCCTGGGGCAGAAACTTTTTGCCAAATGATTCTTTAACAGGGTTTGACTTTCTGGGAAGTTACAAGTTAAGGTCTATGCAGGTTCTCAGTCATCTTGGTTATGGTTATCCCAATGATGCTTTTCTCTAAGTGGCAACTGGATTTTCTTGGTTTTTTTTTTTTTTTTTTTTGAAGACTTCTCATCCAAGAAGGTTAAGTAAGTGGTGGGGAGAATAGAGGGATTGAGGCTGTTCTCAATCATCCTGTCGTTAACAGTCTAAAATAGGGGTCTGCAACCTTTGACAACTTTTAAGACTTGTGGACTTCATCTCCCAGAATTCCTCAGCCAGCGCTGCTGGCTGAGGAATTCTGGAAGATGAAGTCCACAAGTCTTAAAAGTTGTCAAAGGTTGCAGACCCCTGGTGTAAAGCAGTGGTTCTCAACCTGTGGGTCGGGACCCCATTTGGGGTCGAACGACCATTTCACGGGGGTCGCCAAACAACGCAGTCCGCCATTTTTTCCCCCCTTTTCCTTAGCTGTGCTACTCCCTTTTATTCTATTGGCTTTGACTCTTTGACTCTCTTGAATAGAGTCTAATTCTATTGGCTTTCAAAAGCCAATAGGAATTGTCCAGGCTGTCTCTGCCCTGCTGAGCCCAGCAAAAGTCCCATTCTGCAAACGGTGCTGCACCAGTTGAGTAGTCCTCGACTTATGACTGGTTGGGGGTCGCGGCATTAAAAAGGTTGAGAACCACTGGTCTAAAGAGTTGTTGAAATCACCTGAGGGTTAATCCGTGTCCACAGAATCACCTGAATCAGATTGCAAATAGGTGTGGAGCCGTCTTGGGACTGGTGAAAGGGCTGTGTTGTAAACGGGTGGTGTTGTATCCTTCCCCCCCCCCTCTGTTAAGGAAGGATTGTTCAAATTTTAACATCAGGCCTCTTGGACTCCTCTTTCAAAACAGCATTCTTATTCTATCCAGACTGAATGTTAAAGGAGACAATAATCCCCATCAGTGAATTAGAACTGAAGAAGCTTCTGGCAGGAGAAGCGAAACGTCTTCAATCGGAAAAGAGCTGGAAGGGACCTTGAAGGTCTGCTAGTCTAACCCCTTGCTCAAGCAGGAGACCCTATATCATTTAAAGCCTCCAGTGATGAAGTACCCACAGCTTGTGGAGGCAAGCGGTTCCACTGGCTAATTGTTCTCAACGTTAGGAAGTTGTTCCTTAATTCCAAGTTGCTTTTCTTCCCTTGATTAGTTTCCGTCCATTGTTTCTTGTCCTGCCTTCTGGTGCTTTGGTGAATAATTTGACCCTCTCTTCTTTGTGGCAGCCCCTCAAATACTGGGATACTGCTATCATGTCACCCCTAGTTCTTCTTTTCTCTAGAACGGTCATACCCAATTCCTGCAACTGTTCTTCCTATGTTTTAGTCTCCAGGCTTTTATCCATCTTAGTTGCTGTTTTCTGAACTTTTTCCGAAGTCTCAACATCTTTTTTGGGGGGGGGGGGTAACGTGGAGACCAAAACTGGATGTAGTATTCCAGGTGTGTTCCACAAAAATAATCGAAGTCCATTTGCTCTTTGGAGTAAAGCACTTTTGAGACTTCCCAATGTTTGGTTCCAATCTATTGCTTTATAATTGTTAAACCCTCCCTTGCCTTGTTTTTTTTTTTTTTTTTTTTTAAAGAAGGGCAGTGGAAAGTGAAAATATAGTTCATTTTCCCAGGTTAAAATTGCATCTTAAGGTGACTTATATTTTCCGAAATGGCAACACTTCCGTTTCTGAGGAAAACAGTATGAGGCTTACTAACAAAAAAATATTTAAAGTTCCCGTACGAGGGAGATAAATCAGTTCAATTCTTTGGCTGAATTAAAGATTTCAGGGAAACAAAAGGGGTCATTAACAAAACTTTGTTGTCTTGTCCTCGTTAGTATAGTGGTAAGTATCCCCGCCTGTCACGCGGGAGACCGGGGTTCGATTCCCCGACGGGGAGAGACATTTTTTTTTTAAATTTGCTTTTTTTGCAAAAATCAATGTGGCCAAAACGTCTTCTCCAAGAATTTAACCTTGCATTAAAGGTCTTGTGAAAATGTGACTCCGACAGAAGAAGAAATCTGCACGTCACTAGAAAACAGGTTTCTTTTAGACAGTGTCTGGGAGTTGAAGTCCACACAACTTAAAGTTGCTAAGATTGAGAAGTCCTGCTCTAAAACATAAAATGTTTGATGCGTAGCAGGAAAAAAAAGCAGAGCTTCTCTTGTCAGAGGCAGTGCACCTGTAAGTTACTGCTGGAGAAATCCGGCAGGCAAAGCAAAGCGAATGAAGGAGAAAAAAGGGGTTGTGCCCTTTACTTTGATTCATTGGCAGTAGAATGATATTTGCCTTTGAAGATCTCAATGCTATCACGTTTTAGATCTTGTTCAAATCTTGAGTAAAATGTTCACCCTAAATGACCGCCAGCTTTCTCGAAGTCGTCTCTGTGGCGCAATCGGTTAGCGCGTTCGGCTGTTAACCGAAAGGTTGGTGGTTCGAGCCCACCCAGGGACGCGCTTCCTTTTTTTATTTCAGAGAAAATTGAAAAGATTAAAAATAAAACTGCTTATCAGATAAGCCACTGGATTTCATTTTACGCTCTGGTTTTAAAGCAATTATTCCAGCATCAGCATTTGTGAACTAGAAGCATACACTGCAGGCAGATATATATATATATCTGCTGTATAATATGCCTGTAGTTTATATTCTCTCTGTCTCTCTGCGTATAGTGTATGTCTGTACTTTAATTTATATATTATATTTTATTATATTTTATGTTATAATTATAATATATGTTGTTTCTTCTCTGCCTGCAGTATATGCCTTTAGTTTACAAAGGCTAATGCTGAAATAAGTGCACATAATTATGTACACACAATTTGTACACACAGTTTATGGTCCCGGTGTGTTCCTGTGGTCAGCTTGGAGAAACTGCAAGGACCTTAGTAGGAAATAAAACAAACTCAGAAAGGGAGGTACTGTGGCTACCACCCTGAGCATTACAGATTTGCACAACAAAATAGCTTCACTGTTGCAAGCCAGCTAAATTGTTGTCTACTAACGAAGTCAGGGATGCAGACATAATAGTTTATCAATGAAGGAGACTATTTGTAGTGCAGGGTTGAAATGAGGGGCCCTTGGTGTGCTTGCTTGTTTTCTTGCAGACGTTCCATTACCAAACTAGGTAACATTATCAGTGCTTGTAAGGAGGGCTGTTTGCTGTCTATTTATATTCTGATGTCTTGCCTGTCTGTGTGGGTGAGGGCAATCTTAGGAAATTCTTCGATAGGGCTGTTTACTAACGGCTGTATTTGGCAGTTTCCTTGATTGGGATATTGCTTACTTAATTGTTGGTCTGAAGGTGACCTTGGAGTTAATCTATGCTGATCTGAGTGCTGATTACTGGTGGAGAGATCTGGGGTTTCACTTAACAACAGATATTTCGGCTCCATTATGGTTATAAGTCGAGGACTAGCAGTACTTTCTTGCAAGCTATGGCATACCACATAAAAAACAAGGGCAGTTTGGGGCTAAAAGACTTGCTTACTTAGCAAGAGGAGGATCTAAACCAGGCGTAGTCAACCTTGGCTCTTTTATGACTCGTGGACTTATGAGTCAGGAATTTATGACTCAGGAATTCTGGGAGTTGAAGTCCACGAGTCATAAAAGAGCCAAGGTTGACTACCCCTGCTACAGATGTTAATGTCTATGTGTGTCTTTTGATGGCTGATTTGTCAGAGTTGCCAGGCTTCTAGAAATTGGCATTTTTGAATTTGGCCTGGTCTAGGATTATCACATTTTCCCAATTGAAACTATGGTTAAATATGTGTATATATTGTGAAATTAACTGACAACAAACTGCACTCCTTACTAGCACTAATGATGATGTTACCTAGTTAGGGTCATGAAACATCTGCAAGAAAAAACACAAGCTCAAAGAGCACCCAGGACCCCCTCCTAATAGCTTATTATTCAGCTTATTATTCAGATTCCATCCCAGTCCTTCAGTGGGGCAATTCAAGCTGTTGTGTGAATACCCAGCTAATCATAGTTTGGATGTGTATGGCATGCCTACAGCCTACAAAGCTAACCACAATCCTTGTGCAACAACAAAAAAAACTTAGGTCACGACTGCTTGAAGGAGGCTTGAGAGCCAAGCAAGCGATGGAGTAGTAAACTTATTGAAAAATGGGTGCAGGAAAATTTCGTGTGCTTTGGTTCCATTTGTAGAGAGATCTGTGAATGAAGCTGCTGTACGCTAAATCTGTGTTTCTCAACCTTGGCAATTTTAAGATCTCAACATACTTTAGACAAGTTGTCAAGGTTGAAATACAGGTAATTCTCAACTTACAACCGTTTGCTTAGTGACCATTCAAAGTTACCATTGGCACTGAAAAAGCTGACTTATTTTTCACACTTATGACCATTGCAATATCCCCATGGTCATGTGATTGACATTCGGATGTTTGACAATTGGTTCATATTTATGACGGTTGCAGTGTCCCAGTGTCATGTGATAAGCCATGGTGACTTTCTGAGTGGCAAAGTCAATGGGGAAGTCAGATTCACTTAATAACGGTGTTGCTAATTTAACAATTGCTAGTGAGTCACTTAACAAATGTGGCAAGAAAAGTTGTAAAATGAGGCAAAACTCAACACATTTCTGACTTAGCAACAAAGTTTGTGCTCCGTTGTGGTCATAAATTGAGGACTACCAGTAAACGGGCTAAACAATCTACACTGTAATTTAAACATTAGATTTAAACTCCTGTTTCACATATAAACCATATCTTATTGTTTAGGGATTGAGACATTTAAATTTAGCATTTCAGTTAGGAATTTAAAAATACAAACTTGCATGCTCCTGTCTGTTTAGGAAATCCAAATAATAGACATCGTTTATTACACATTTTTAATCTGTCATTAATGGTAAACTGATGGAAGAAAAAAGAAGAGGCATCTGATTTTTTTAAAATTGGGCCTACCTAGTTGTTTAGAGATTGAGAAATTTAAATCCCTATTGTTTAGGGATTTTTAAATCCCTATTGTTTAGGGATTGAGAAATTTAAATTTAGCATTTCAGTTAGGAATTTAAAAATACAAACTTGCATGCTCCTGTCTGTTTAGGAAATCCAAATAATAGACATCGTTTATTTTGTTGTTAATTGCGAAGTTATGTCCGACCCATCGTTTATTACACATTTTTAATCTGTCATTAATGGTAAACTGATGGGAGAAAAAAAAAGAGGCATCTGATTTTTTTAAAATTGGGCCTACCTAGTTCTCTGTCTCTTAAAGCAGGGGTCTTCAAACTTGGCCCTTTTATGACTTGTGGACTTCAACTCCCAGAATTGAAGTCCACAAGTCATAAAAGGGCTAAGTTTGAAGACCCCTGCCTTAAATATCAAGGAAATAACCCTGCTCTACAGTCTGAAATTAAGAGCCTCACACTCTTCTGGCCAGGTTAGATAGGCTCACCTTTTAAAAGGAATTCTTTCTGCATTCTTTAGATTCCAAAAGCAAACTCTGACCGAAAGAACATTTTTATAATTTGTTAAGGAGAAAATTGGAGACTTCCCACAAACCTGACCTTATAAAAAGCGGGAAAGATTTAGCACTTTGGGGAACAGAAAGCTACTTTGGCTCATGAGAAAAACCTAAACTAGCCAACGAATAGCATCACTTGTGGATTTATTTAGAGTGAAACACCCACTAAAGAACAGCATCTCTGAGGTTTGCAGAGGGCTTAAAAAATGAAACCCTGACATAGGAACACACACACAAAAAGTCTAAAGCAGTGGTTCTCAATCTGTGGGTCAGGACCCCATTTGGGGTCGAACGACCATTTCACAGGGGTCGCCAAACAACGCAGTCCACCATTCCCCCCCCCCTTTCTTTAGCTGTGCTACTCCCTTTTATTGTATTGGCTTTGACTCTTTGACTCTCTTGAATAGAGTCTAATTCTATTGGCTTTCAAATGGTGCTGCACCAGTTGAGTAGTCGTCGTCTTTTGACCGGTTGAGTAGTCCTTGACTTATGACCGGTTGGGGGTCGCGGCATTAAAAAGGTTGAGAACCACTGGTCTAAAGCAATATTAGACTACTCAACTGGGCTCCCCCCCCCCCGTTTTTTCCAGAACAGGAACCAAGTCTTCAGGCAATATCATTTGGGGGAAGATTTTGCTACTAGTCTTAATTGATCACTTTATGTAAAGACTGTGATAACTAAGCCTTGTTCGCGTGATACAAGCTTTTGGGACGCCCCCTCCCCCAAGACAAAGAGAAAATTAAAGTGGATGGACCTTACCAGCTATGGGGAAACGCAAGCTGGCCCCAGCAAATCTTATCTAAAATGGAAATTAAGATAATTTACGACTTCAGGGATAAACTGACTTGTTCTGTATATACTGCAAACTTTTTTAAACATAAAGTAAAAGCAAAGGAAACGGCTCTTTTTTGGAGAAAGTGGGCGGCTCTTAAAAGAGCCTTTGGGTCTGGCGAAGGAGGCTTCGCTTTGAGCTCGTTTACTTGGAGCTGGTGTACTTGGTGACGGCCTTGGTGCCCTCGGAGACGGCGTGCTTGGCCAGCTCTCCCGGCAGGAGGAGGCGGACGGCCGTCTGGATCTCGCGGGAGGTGATGGTGGAGCGCTTGTTGTAGTGGGCCAGGCGGGAGGCCTCGGCCGCGATGCGCTCGAAGATGTCGTTGACGAAGGAGTTCATGATGCTCATGGCCTTGGAGGAGATGCCGGTGTCGGGGTGGACCTGCTTGAGCACCTTGTAAACGTAGATGGAGTAGCTCTCCTTGCGGCTCTTCTTGCGCTTCTTGTCGCCCTTCTTCTGCGTCTTGGTGATGGCCTTCTTGGAGCCCTTCTTGGGCGCGGGAGCAGACTTGGCCGGCTCAGGCATCTTCCGTTCTTTCCCGATCTACCACAGAAAGTGTGGCGGTGGAGCAGAAGCCCCGCTATTTATAGGCCGCCGACGGATTCACCCGCCGAAACGCAGCCTTGTTATTGGCCCAGAAGGCGGCTCCGTCACGCGCCCGCGCGCCAAGTATGCAAATGAGTAGGATTCAAACTCGGCGAGGCGATTGGTCGGTGCGTATCCCGAGGCTCCTGCAAGCTTTTCTCTCTATGTGCTTACGGGAGGGAGGCGTGAACCACGAAGCCCCAATTAACCAGACGCTCACGGCATTAGCGTATGTCTGATCTGAAACTTTGTAAAGCCATCCAGGTGTGATTCTTCTGGGGAAAAATAATATTATTTCGCACTTTCTGTGCCTCGGGTGAATCCGTAGAAGAAAGAGAGAGAATCAAAGCCCTGAAATTAATGCGATGAACCAGAAGCAGGACATCTGAACTTTACTTTTTGCCCTCCTCTTCAAGAAATATGGAACCCGTAACTCGGTCTCTACGTGGCAGCCTTCTCCAACCAGGTGATCTTCCCCTGGGTCTGGGTCTGGCTCCCATCAGCCGCAGCCGAGCCGTGAACGATGAAAGCTACTGCTGGCTGGTTCTAAGTCAATCGTGGTTAACCCTTCCTTCAGCTGATGTCCTTTCCAGCCCACCCATTCCCACGATTCCGGAGTCCATTGACTTTGGCAGAAAAGTCCTTCCGTCACCCTTAAATCCACTACTCTCAAATATATTATTTCTGCTCCCACCTGGGGAAGAAACATCCCATCAAACCTTTATTACGATCACATCAAAAGAGACCTCCAAAACAGCATCCAGGGAGTGGACAGGATGCGGAAAGACTAACAGTTGAGAGGGACCTTGGAGGTCCTCTAGTCCAACCCCTGCTCAAGCAGGAGACTCTATCTACCCTACCCCATCCATCCATCCATCCATCTACCCATCCATCCATCCATCTACCCATCCATCCCTATCTATCTATCTATCTATCTATCTATCTATCTATCTATCTATCTATCTATCTATCTATCATACTTTCATAATCTTTCCTATCTGTCTCTGTCTATCTATCTATCTCTATCATTTCTCTATAATCTATCTTCTAGTTAGCTAGTTATTATCTATCATTTATCCTATCTATCTATCTATCTATCTATCTATCTATCTATCATACTTTCATAATCTTTCCTATCTGTCTGTCTGTCTGTCTATCTATCTATCTATCTATCTATCTCTATCATTTCTCTATAATCTATCTTCTAGTTAGCTAGTTATCTATCTATCTATCTATCTATCTATCTATCTATCTATCTATCATACTTTCATAATCTTTCCTATGTCTGTCTATCTATCTATCTATCTATCTATCTCTATCATTTCTCTATAATCTATCTTCTAGTTAGCTAGTTATTATCTATCATTTATCCTATCTATCTATCTATCTATCTATCTATCTATCTATCTATCTATCTATCATACTTTCATAATCTTTCCTATCTGTCTCTGTCTATCTATCTATCTATCTATCTATCTATCTATCTATCTATCTCTATCATTTCTCTATAATCTATCTTCTAGTTAGCTAGTTATTATCTATCATTTATCCTATCTATCTATCTATCTATCATACTTTCATAATCTTTCCTATCTGTCTGTCTATCTATCTATCTATCTATCTATCTATCTATCTATCTATCTACCTATCTCTATCATTTCTCTATAATCTATCTTCTAGTTATCTAGTTATCTATCTATCTATCTATCTATCTATCTATCTATCTATCTATCTATCTATCTATCTATCTATCTATCTATCATACTTTCATAATCTTTCCTATGTCTGTCTATCTATCTATCTATCTATCTATCTCTATCATTTCTCTATAATCTATCTTCTAGTTAGCTAGTTATTATCTATCATTTATCCTATCTATCTATCATACTTTCATAATCTTTCCTATCTATCTATCTATCTATCTATCTATCTATCTATCTATCTATCTATCTATCTATCTATCTATCTATCTATCTATCTATCTATCATTTCTATCATTTCTCTATAATCATTTCTCTATAATCTATCTTCTAGTTAGCTAGTTATTATCTATCTATCTGTCTGTCTGTCTGTCTGTCTGTCTGTTTCTTTCTCGACACCACCACCCCCCCTCCGTTTTTTTCCCTCCCTCCAATTTTCATTTTTGAAGGCTCCGAGGGGAGGATCCTGTCCCTTTAAGCGCGTGCCCGGCCGGCCAGCCGCTGTGGGGTTTTCGCGGGAGGCGCGCGCACGCCCGTGCGTGCGCGGCCTTTCTCTCCCACGCTCTTCCGCCAGGCGAGGCGGCGTCTCGCGCGTTCGCGGCGGCCGGGGAATCGTTTCCTCGGAGCATCGGGGAGTGGCGGATTCAGGCGTGGGCAGGGGCGGGGCGGGGCCGGGCGGGGGAGGGGTTTCCTTGGCGGAGCTCGACTTCCATTTTGCGGTGGGGGTGAGTCTGCCTTGCCTGATTTGGGGGGGGGGGGCGTCTTGTTCCTATCTGCTTTTTTTTAATTATTGTTATTGTTTTTAAAAAGCGTAAATCGACTTGGGTTATAATGTGGATCGCTCTTCCCCTCCCTCCCCCTTAGAAGGAGATCCGTTGAAGAATTAAATGAAGTGGGTTAGAGGCTTGAATGGCTGGGCATCTTTCAACCAGAATAAAGATTTCATTATTTTGTTTCCTTTCTCCTTTTGCTATGTGTTTAGCACAGTGTTTCTCAACCTTGACAATTTTAAGGCATGTGGACTTCAACTCCCAGAATTCCACAGCCAGCATTGCTGGCTGTGGAATTCTGGGAGCTGAAGTCCACATGCCTTAAAATTGTCAAGGTTGAGAAACACTGGCCATGTTTTAGCATGTTTTTGATGTACAAGTAGTCCTCGTCTTACAGCCATTTGTATAGTGACGGTTCAAAGTTCCAATGGCATTGAGAAAAGGGACTTATGATCGTTTTTCACACTTAACGATGGGTTGGAGCATCCCCAGAGTTAGGTAAATGTCAAAATTCAGACATTGCTTGGCAACGGACTCATATGTGTGACGGTTGCAGTGTCCCCCGGGCTCATGTCATCCCCTTTTGGGACCTGACAAAGTCAGTGAGGAAGCCTAGATTCACTAAACAACTGAGAGACTAATGTCACAACTGCAGTGATTTGTTTAACACCTGTGACCAGAAAAGGTCATAAAATGGGGCAAATGTCTCGCTTAGCAACAGAAATTTTGGGCTCCCTTGTGGTCGTAAGTCAAGGAGCATGTGTAATGCTGTAAGCCCATTTTTTTCCCCGCTGCATGTACTTTTCTTAACTATCCTGAGGTGGTCAAGTCTAATTTTGGATATTGGAATGCCAACTCTCTTGTGCTGTTTAATGACCGCAATAACATTAAATGGAAACTGCGGTGCTTTGTTTTCTGGAAAAGGGGATTATGACCTTTCCATCCCACCTCTTTTTTGTGGCACCCTGTCTCAAGGGGTTTTCTTAGAGGTGTGTCGTAATGTTATACTTCCAAAGAACAGCCCTGTGAGGTAGGCTCACCTGTGTGTGTGAGAGAGAATCTGGTCTGAAGTCACTAACAGAGTACCATGATGGAGATAGGATTTGAACTTGGCTCACTTTCCTCCAAATTATTACATGTGGGATTTTCAAATGTTTCAAATCCAGCCTCAAAAGGATAATTCTCAAAATCTGTGGCAGCTGACTCAGTTTGACCTCTTTTCTTCCTTAGCTGCCCCTAATAATGTTTCCCAAACTTGACAATTTTAAGGCATGAGGACTTCAACTCCCAGAATTCCACAGCCAGCAACGCTGGCTGTGGAATTCTGGGAGTTGAAGTCCACATGCCTTAAAATTGTCAAGTTTGGGAAACACTGCCCTAATAGCTTTTCTTTGCTATGGATGATTTTAGCCCAATGTTTCTCAAACTTGGCATCTTTTAAGAGGGGTGGATTTCAACTCCCAGAAATCTCCAGCCAGCCTCACCTGTAATAAACAATTATAAAGTTGCTTACTTCAGCTATTTATGAGTGATTCTGGTTTCTTGTGTGTGGGAGAGAATTGAATTAAGTAAATAATGACATTTAGCCTGCATGCTAGAAGCTAAGAAACAGGTGGTGCTTTTCTCTATGGAGATTCTCAGTCATCCACATCATGGTTGTCTCAAAAGTGCTTTTTTCAGGAGACAACTGGATTTCCTTGTTTTTCTTTGAAGACGTTTTGCTTCTCAGCCAAGAAGCTTCTTCAGCTCTGAATGGATGGTGGAGAATGGAAGGATTTATACTCCTTGCAGACAGCTGGTCATTTGCCTTCTTTTAGAGCAGTGGTTTTCAACCTTTTTAATGCCGTGACCCCCAACCGGTTGTAAGTCGAGTACTACTCAACTGGTCGTAAGTCGAGGACTACTCAACTGGTGCAGCACCGTTTGCAGAATGGGACTTTTGGCGGGCTCAGCAGGGCAGAGACAGCCTGGACAATTCCTATTGGGTTTTGAAAGCCAATAGAATTAGACTCTATTCAAGAGAGTCTATTCTATTGGCTTTCAAAAGCCAATAGAATAAAAGGGAGTAGCACAGCTAAGGAAAAGGGGGGAAAAAATGGTGGACTGCGTTGTTTGGCGACCCCCGTGAAATGGTCGTTCGACCTCAAATGGGGTCCCGACCCACAGGTTGAGAACCACTGTTTTAGAGAGTCATTGAGACCACTTGGAGGTTTACCTGTGTCCTCAGTGTCACCTGAGTAGTGTAAATGGGTGTGGGGTCTTCTTGGTTGGACGATGTTTTTTGCCTTGTGTCCCTTCACTGTTGAAGACAGGCGCACAGGCTGTTGGGGAGGAGTCTGTGTTGTCTGCATCTCAAACTGAAGTGCAAATGGTTCCTATAGTCCAGGGGTAGGCACCCTTGGCTCTTTTATGACTCGTGGACTTCAACTCCCAGAATTCCTGAGCCAGCATGGAAACCTCTCCCTTTCCCCTCAGCATGGCTGGCTCAGGAATTCTGGGAGTTGAAGTCCATGAGTCATAAAAGAGCCAAGGTTGCCTACCCCTGCTATAGTCTGCTCCATACACATTTGCACTACTCAGATGACCCCCCGAGGACACAGATAAACCTCCAAGTGGCCTCAATGACTAAGAATGCAAATGTCTGCAAGGAGTATAAATCCTTCCATTCTCCACCATCCAGTCAGAGCCGAAGAAGCTTCTTGGGTGAGAAGTGAAAGGTCTTCAAAGAAAAACAAGAAAGTCCAGTTGCCTCCTGAAAAAGCACCTTTGAGACAAGCATGGTGGTCTTGTGAGGGGTCTGTGTTAGCTTGTGTAGAAGATCAACAGGAAGAGGGTTACATCTCACCCTAACAACAGACTAAGCTTTTCAACTGCGGTCCTCAACTTAAAAGCCATTTGTTTAGTGACCATTCAAAGTTAAAATGGCACTGCAAAAAGTTGCCATTACAACTTACAATCCTTGCAGCATCCCCCCAGTCACGTGATCAACATTCGGATGCTTGGCAACTGCCTCGTATGCATGACGGCTACAGCGTCCCGGGGTCCTATGTGACCTTCTGACAACAAAGTCATTGGGGAAGCCAGATTCTCACTTAACAATCTTAGTGACTAACTTAACCACTGCAGGGATTCGCTTCACACCTGGGGCTAGAAAGGTTGTAAAACGAGGCAAAACTCCATTAACTAATGTCTCGCTCAATTGGGCTCAATTGTGGTTGTAAATCGAAGGTTACCCGTCAAGCTAGGTCTGTTTCCCTTGTTATTTCTGGTGAGGAAAGCAGCTAGCTTTGAGGCGGCAAAAACTAAAAAAAGTTCTGTCTTTGGGTTTCTTTTGGCAGGATTCCACCATGATGCCACGGCGTGGCCGGGGGAGACGACCCCAACTTCCAGCGTTTCACAGGCGACAAGCTCTACCTGTCTCTCTTCGGCAGCCCCCTTTCCTTTGTGTGATGGAAGGAGGTGTATCTGACGAGCCCGTGGCCATGGCGATCGCTCCGGCTGTTGCGTTGGCCCCCGGGATGAAAGAGAGGAAAGCCTGCCCATCCTCAGCGCATGACTTCTTTTCCTACTTGAAGGAAAAAGAAGAGGAAGAGGTGGACGCTGCTGACCTGGGGAGCTTTTCACCCAGCACTTCTGCTCTAATGGCGGAGAAGCAGCACTGCCCTTCTGAAGTCCACGAGATGCTTTCGTACTTAAAAAAGGAGGAAGAGGAGGAGGAGGAGGAGGAGGTGGCTGAGATAGTGTCTCTGTCCTCCTCACATGTTCTTCCACCCCCTGCTCCTCCTCCTCCTCCTCCTGCACTACCAGCCTACGCGTCTCCGGCTACAACAGGCAGGTCTATCCTTCCAGGGGGAAGGGAGATGTTCCATATCTTCACGCCCATAACCCACATCCCTGCTTCAGCTCATGCCAAGCGAGGTCGTGACCGGGAGATGTTAGCAGCAGATGGAGTCCCGACTGTGCAGAAGAAAACCACCTCGGCTGTTTGGGATTACTTTACTCTGGACCCACAGGAACCCTGTGTGGCGGTTTGTGGCATGTGCCAGAAACGAGTGAGGAGAGGGAAGGACGGAGGCACCCGACCAGGCACCACAGCCCTCCATAAGCACTTGAAGGTCCATCATGGTCTTCACCTGCCAGGCGTTGCGGTGGTCCCTCCATCCCCACTGATGCCCCTGAAGGAGAGGTTCCACAGCACTCCCATGGTAGTCACAGAGCCAGCTCCTCCAGCCTTCCTGTTTTACCAGCAAGAGAGGAATCAACCCTACTACCCTCCCACCCACCCAACAGCCATCCAGTTGGCTTCTGATACTGCCTGGATGCTAGCGGTGGACATGCAGCCCTTCTCCTGCGTGGAGAGTGAAGGATTTCGTCGGCTGATGGCCACCGCCCAGCCTCGTTGGAGGATCCCTAGCCGGGCGTTCTTCACCACCAAGGCAGTGCCTGAGTTATCCAAAGTGGTCTCCCGGGCTGTGCGGCAAACCCTGGCCTCCAGTGTTGGACGCACGGTCCATATCACAATAGACAGCTGGGGTGACAGGCAAACAGCCACGTACATGTTGGTGACAGGACACTGGATCTCAGACTTAGCAGGCACCCTCGTCAGGCAACACGCCACTCTGTCAGTGTGTACTTTCGAGGGCTGCTGTCCCCCAGAGGATATCTGCCACAAACTGCGGGAAGTCCTCCAGGATTGGCTATGTAATCTGAAGACGGGCGGGGTGGTGTCCGACAGTGGGACCAACGCCGCCAGGGCGGCGCGAGAACTGCGCCTCAAGCACATTCCTTGCTTGGCCCGCTGTCTGAAGCTGGTCACCAAAGCGTTTTTGGCTGGGGATGCTCAAGTCGGGAGTCTCCTGAAGACGTCCAGAAGGATCTGCAGCTGCTACCACCGCTCGGCCACTGTCCGACGGCGTCTCCTGGAAGTGCAGGCCAACTTGGGCTTATATCAGCCTCTGGGGCAAAACACTCCGCCAAGGTCCAACTCTACCTTGCTGATGTTGGAGTGCCTGTACAGGCAGCGCCAAGCCATCGGGGCCATGCTGGATGAAGATGAAGATGGTCCCCACCTGCTCTTGGCGCCTGCAGACTGGAAGGTGATGAAGTGCTTGGTGGAGATCTTGAAGCCGTTTGAGGATGCTGCTGCACTGGTGATCCGGCCTGACGCCACTCTTTGCCAGGCACTTCCCCTCCTGTGGTTCTTGGAGGAACAGCTCAGGGCCTTGAGGACCAGATACCACCAAGAAAATAATAACACTGCAGCTCACCTGACCACGCAGGCTTTGGACTGCCTTGAGGCTGACAATCAGCTGAGAGAAATAAAGGACAATATGATGTATCGGATCGCGGCCTTCCTTGACCCCCGATTCAGGGACATCACCACCATGAAGCTGGGTGGGACAGACTTCAGCGATGCAACCTTGCTGAAGAAGCACATAGTTGACTTGGCCACCAGGTCCTACGTGCCTCCTGGAGGAGCAGACACGGACTTCTCCCCAGTTAGTCACTCTTCTCAAGACCAAAACGCCAGCTCCAGCAGCTCTCCCGGTTCAGCAGCTTGGCAGTTCACCATGAAACGCTGGAGGGCCATCACCAAAAGTGATCCTGCCTCCAGTTTGACTTCTGAAGGGGGAGCAGCCACAGCCCTCCGGGAAATGGAAGAATACCTCCATGACAACGTGGACCATATTGGAGAAAATGCCGATCCAATGCTATATTGGCAAGGGAAGATGGCAGTGTGGCCAGCTCTCTTCAAGGTGGCCGTGTACCACTTTGGGTGCCCACCAACATCTTCGTCGTCCTCTGAAGACCTCTGTGGTGCTCCCAATTCATCAGGACCAAGAGAGCACCCCAAGAATCTTTCCCCAGCCAACATTAAAATGTTCATGTTCATCCGTAGGAATCGCCACCTCGTCCCTCAAGATTGGAGGCTGTCCCTCGGAGATATTTCTTCCCAAAATCCCATGGGTCCAAGAGAAGACCTGAGTGTGGAAGAGGAAGATGACTTTCTAAGATTGGATGAAGAGCATGAGGACAAGTAAAGAAGAAAACTTCTATACTTGGGTCGCTACCGTGGCATATCCTTATTCGTTCGTTACAGCCGGACTGACCATCTTCTCATGCTTCATAAAGATTCTTAAACACTGGTTAAAATTGATTGGAGGTTCCAAATGGTACCTTTGAATCTATAAATGAAGACTCAGTCATCCAGGCCAAAAGTATCTAAAAAGGTTGAATCATGGCAACTGGACCAGAGTTTCTTAAACTGAGACGTTTCGTTCATCCTTCATCAGTCAAAATAAAAACAAAAATAGTTGAGAGTCATTGGAATGTACTAACTCTTGCCATACCAACTGCAGGCCTTTCTCCCCAAAATGCATTGCAATATGTAAATGAAGACTCAGTCATCCAGACCAAAAGTATCCAAAAAGGTGAAATCATGGCAACTGGACCAAAGGTTGTTCAACTGAGACGTTCTGTTACTCATCCAAGTAAGAAGAGTTGGTACATTCCAACAACTCTCTTGACCCACTGCCTATTTTTTTAATTTTGATTTTGATTGAAGAAGTGGCTTGGATGAGTAACTAAGTTTAACAAACTTGGGTCCGGTTGCCTTGATTTAACCTTTTTTACACCTTTGAAATCAACTTTTCTTCTTCTGATCTTCTGATTCTTACATTTAGTCTTGTGGTAGTGTGGTGGTATCTGCCCCCATTTCATGGATGGAAATGCAGTTTGTGTATTTTCAATAATTCACTGATAAAATTCTTGAAACAGGGTGAGGTTTCCTTAACACCTTTTGAAAGCAGATGGAGAAGCCTGCCTTATCTGCTACCCTTAAAAAAACTGCAGCTCAAATGGAAAAATCATTCTGGTCCATAATGCAAGTAGTCCTCAGGTTACAAACATTGGTTCAGCAACTGTTCAAAGTTAGGATGATGCTACCTACAGCTGGTCCCTGCTGGCTGTGGCAAGATCCCTTTGGTCACAGCAAGCCAAAGTCCTGTGCTTGTGATTTCCAACATTTCCCAAGAGAAGTCATTGGGGAAGCCAGCAGGAGCTTAGAAGTGAATTCTGTGAGGTCCTCGCTTAATGACTCAGGCTGTCCTTGCTGAACAAGGGCAACTAACTGGCATTGTTGGAATTGCTGTCATTAAGCAGCATGTTCTTGTGAGACTGTGCTTTATGATCACATCCGGTTCCATTCCAAAGCGCTGTCGTAACCTGAGGACTACCCGTAGCTCTGTTGACCGACTTTTGTTAGGTTTACTCCGTAATATAAGGTTTGGTTTGAGTTTAATGTTGTGTGTGAATTACATACGAGAGTGTAGAGCTTTAAATTGTACGATCTGATTTCATATTCTACCAAGTTACAGTTTGTTTAGCCAGAGTTTCTTGACTAAGCCACAGTGCCTGAGTTCACCATGCAAGCTAAGCCCAAACTTGGCAAAACAAATACACCATAGGATTTTAACCATAATGGGCAGCAGGTCACAATATCAATCTGATCCTGATTAAAGCAAAACCATGGCTTAGCATGTGTGTGAACTCAACCTGAATCATACAAGCCACCCTGTCTCCTGCTTCGGAAAAGCTTCCATGTATCTCGCTTTGGGAAACTTTTACAAATTAATTAACGCTGTCAGGATTGTATTAGTCCATTGGTTTCTTCACCCCCCTTTGCTTTGTTTCCTGTTGCAGACACCCTGGAAAATTTCTCGTTTGAACTGGCGCAGCACTTGTTCTTGCATGTAAATATGTATGTATGTATGTATGTATGTATGTATGTTTTCTGAGGTTTTCGCGGGTATTTGTATGTAGGTCTTTGGTTATTCGGGTTTTCTCCCACGTAAAATTGGAAGTGTCTTGGCGACGTTTCGACGAAGTCCCATTTGTCATCTTCAGGCTGGTGTTTTCAGCTTCGTGCTTCGAGGAGCAAGAAGCTGAGAACACCTCAAAGCACGAAGCACGAAGCTGAAAACACCAGCTTGAAGATGACGAATGGGACTTCGTCGAAACGTCGCCAAGACACTTCGAATTTTACACGGAGAAAACCCGAACAACCAAAGACCTATATATATATATATATATTATATATATATATATATATATATATATAAATAATGTTTTCTGAGGTTTTCGCGGGTGTTTGTATGTAGGTCTTTGGTTGTTCGGGTTTTCTCCCGCGTAAAATTGGAAGTGTCTTGGCGACGTTTCGACGAAGTCTCATTCGTCATCTTCAGGCTGGTGCTTTCGGCTTCGTGTTTCTAGGAGCACCAGCCTGAAGATGACGAATGGGACTTCGTCGAAACGTCGCCAAGACACTTCCAATTTTACGCGGGAGAAAACCCGAACAACCAAAGACCTACATATATATATATATATATATATATATATATATATATATATATATATATATAACGTTAAAAATCGAAGAGTAACGATTCCTGGGTATATACATAGTGATAAAAAAGGCGTTCACCAGGAGATAAAAACAATACAGTTTTAATAGATAAAACCAAGCTTTCGATGGCTACGAATCTGCCATCATCATCAGGGTACAAACCAACCGGTAAGGAAACTTGCTTATGAGTACAGCTGCCCCCACATTCTGCACATGGACCTCGTGACGGGTCCCAGCTGATTGGTTCTAACTTCACTTTCAGTATTTGATGGCTCTTTCTTACGATCCCTATTTACATCTGCATGATCGCCCCTCTCCCCACCCCTTTTAGTTCTTGAGCCGGGAAGGCAGCGTGTATTTCCCAGAGTTAAAGTGTCCTCCTCGTTATCGAGCTGGCCCCTCCTCCTGTGTTTTCTGGGGCATTTCTCTCTTCCACTCTTCCGGCACACATCACACTTATTTGTGCATTTATCACCATTCTTCATACCGAGGGTTTCACTTTGGTCCTCGTTTTTCAGTACATCTACTCTTATCGTCCCTCCAGCACCCTCACAGTCCTCATGATTAACCCCCTCCGTGGTTTTATCTATTAAAACTGTATTGTTTTTATCTCCTGGTGAACGCCTTTTTTATCACTATATATGTATATGTATATATGTATATATTGTTCTTGAATGTGTTTCTCTGACACTTTGTACAATTTCAAAGCAGTTTGTTTGTCCTGAGGCAGTTGGAGATTTGTGTATCCAATTAGCAACTCATTGCACAGGTGGAAAAGTTTTATCTCCGGATTCTCAAGATAGCGAAGAGTCCTGTGAAGAAGATCAGAAAGTGCTATAAACTTTTAAGACAGGGATCCCCAACTTTGGCAACTTGTGGACTTCAATGCCCAGAATGCCCCAGCCAAGGTTGAAGACCCCTTCTTTAAGAGATAAAGCTTTGGTGGTGATTGTTACATATCTAGAATAGCCTTTTCATGTTGCGTTTGGAAAAGTCTATGGGAAACTAATGTTTGTCAACAAGTGTCTCTGGAAAACTGACGCTCAGCCAAATTTTAATGGAATTGTTCTTGGGACTTTTTTTTCCCCTTCATTTTTCAGGAAAGGCTTGTTTAATCACCACTGTGAAACCACCTCAAAACGAAATAAGCTACTTTAATAAAATATCCTAAGAGCAGCTGTTAGATTGCAATTCGTTAATCTTTAAAATCTTTTAAATACTTCTTCCATACCAATCAGTTAACCTTTAAAATATTTTTAAGTATTTAGTTTTCCATATCATTGGAGATGTCTGTTCTTTTAAGGAAGCTTATCTGAGTCTCAAATGAGTTTATTTATTGCTGTGCAGATTTAATATCTTTTAATTAGCTTCCCTAAGACAGGAGGATTGTGGGCTGTAATTACAGTGAGGGAAAAAATTATTTGATCCCCTGCTGATTTTGTACATTTTCCCACTGACAAAGAAATGATCAGTCTGTAATTTTAACAGGGAGAGGCAGAATAACAACAACAAAAAATCCAGAAAAAGGCATTTCAAAAAAGTTATAAATTGATTTGCATTTTAATGAGTGAAATAAGTATTTAGCCCCTTCGCAAAACATGACTTAGTAATTGGGTGCCAAAACCCTTGTTGGCAATCACAGACATTTCTTGTAGTTGGCCACCAGGTTTGTACACATCTCAGGAGGGATTTTGTCCCATTCCTCTTTGCAGATCCTCTCGAAGTCATTAAGGTTTCGAGGCTGACGTTTGGCAGCTCGAACCTTCAGCTCCCTCCACAGATTTTCTAGGGCAGTGGTTCTCAACCTTTTTAATGCCGCGACTCCCAACCGGTTGTAAGTCGAGGACTATTCAACTGGTGCAGCACCGTTTGCAGAATGGGACTTTTGGCGGGCTCAGCAGGGCAGAGACAGCCTGGACAATTCCTATTGGCTTTTGAAAGCCATAGAATTAGACTCTATTCAAGAGAGTCTATTCTATGGGCTTTCAAAAGCCAATAGAATAAAAGGGAGTAGCACAGCTAAGGAAAAGGGGGAAAAAATGGCGGACTGCGTTGTTTGGCGACCCCCGTGAAATGGTCGTTCGACCCCCAATGGGGTCCCGACCCACAGGTTGAGAACCACTGCTCTATGGGATTAAGGTCTGGAAACTGGCTAGGCCACTCCAGGACCTTAATGTGCTTCTTGAGCCACTCCTTGGTTGCCTTGGCCGTGTATTTTGGGTCATTGCCATGCCAAAATATCCATCCAAGACCCATTTTCAATGCCCTGACTGAGGGAAGGAGGTTCTCACCCAAGATTTGACGGTACATGTCCCCTTCCATCATCCCTTTAATGCGATGAAGTTGTCCTGTCCCCTTAGCAGAAAAACCACCCCCAAAGCATAATGTTTCCACCTCCATGTCTGACCGTTGGGATGGGTGTTCTTGGGGTCATAGGCAGCATTCTTCCTCCTCCAAAAATGGCGAGTTGAGTTGATGCCAAAGAGCTTGTTTTTGGTTTGACTACACTTTCACCCAGTTCTCTGAATCATTCAGATGTTCATTGGAAACCTCAGTCGGGCTTGTACATGTGCTTTCTTGAGCAAGGAAACCTTGCAGGTGTTGCAGGATTTCAGTCCTTCACAGAGTAGTGTGTTACCAATTGTTTTCTTGGTGACTGTGGTCCCAGCTCCCTTGAGATCATTGACAAGATCCTTCCCTGTAGTTCTGGGCTGATCCCTCACTGTTCACATGATCATTGAAACGCCACGAGGTGAGATCTTGCATGGAGCCCCAGACCGAGGGAGATTGACAGTTATTTTGTGTTTCTCCCATTTGTGAATAATCACACTGACTGTTGTCACCTTCTCACCAAACTGCTTGGCGCTAGTCTTGTAGCCCATTCCAGCCTTGTGTAGGTCTACAAACTTGTCCCTGATATCCTTGTACAGCTCTTTGGTCTTGGCCACGGTGGAGAGTTTGGAATCTGATTGATTGATTGCTTCTGTGGTCTTGGCCACGGTGGAGAGTTTGGAATCTGATTGATTGATTGCTTCTGTGGACAGGTGTCTTTCATACAGGTAACAAACTGAGATTAGGAGCACTCCCTTTAAGACAGTGCTCCTAATCTCAGCTCGTTACCTGTATAAAAGACACCTGGGAGCCAGAAATCTTGCTGATTGATAGGGGATCAAATACTTATTTCACTCATTAAAATGTAAATCAATGTATAACTTTTAAAAAATGTTTTTCTTGATTTTTTTTTTGTTATTCTGTCTCTCACTGTTAAAATAAACTTACCATTCAAATTATAGATTGATCATTTTGTCAGAGGACAAACGTACAAAATCAGCAGGGGATCAAATAATTTTTCCCCTCACTGTACATGTACAGCAGTGGTTCTCAACCTGTGGGTCGGGACCCCATTTGGAGTCAAACGACCATTTCACGGGGGTTGCCAAACAACGCAGTCCACCATTTTTTCCCCCTTTTCCTTAGCTGTGCTACTCCCTTTTATTCTATTGGCTTTTGAAAGCCAATAGAATAGACTCTCTTGAATAGAGTCTAATTCTATTGGCTTTCAAAAGCCAATAGGAATTGTCCAGGCTGTCTCTGCCCTGCTGAGCCCGCCAAAAGTCCCATTCTGCAAACGGTGCTGCACCAGTTGAGTAGTCCTCGACTTAACGACCAGTTGGGGGTCGCGGCATTAAAAAGGTTGAGAACCACTGATGTACAGCATTTGTTGCCTTTAATCTGTGCATAGAAGCTTAATTTAGAACTTTGAGGATGGATAGCAATGAGCAAGAACACTAAGATGCCAGGAAGATAATAGATTATCCAGTTAAATTCCAACAGGTTAATATTGAAAGATTAAGATTAAAAAATATATATCTTAAACCAGCTGCAGTCTGGCCATCATATTTTCACTTAACACCAAGTAAACATATATCAGTTGAATATTTCCTTAGTGATTTGGCTTATATGCTAATTCAGTTGCATCTGGCTTTTCAACAGTGTGCATTCCTGAATTCAGTAATAAAATATAATAATTTTTTTTTGGGGGGGGAAGTAATTAACGATTAATGGCTGTGTCTGACTCCAGCCTGTCATCCTTATTTAGATTTTGTCAGATTTCTACCCCAGTTTCCTCTCAGTTCTTCAAGATGAAATACATAACATCCTTACATGTTCACACAGACCTTCTTCGACTTAATGGCCATAATTTTCTCAACATCTCCATTGTTAAGCTTTTCTCCATTCTACAGACTTTTTGTGATAGTTGTTAAGCGAGCAAATCTGGCTTTCCCTCCCCCCCCCCACTGGCTTTCCTTGTTGGATCACATGACCCCAGAACAGTGCAACCATCATAAATACATGCCAGTAGCCAAATGCCTGACTTGATCACGTGACCATGGGGATGCTGCAATTCTTCTTGTGCCATATCTGTTATCGGACGTTGGCGATCATGTTGACGATCCTGTTTTTTATCAGCAGCCGCACAAAAAAGTGCTGCTGAGTTTTGTCCAAACCAGTCCCTTAGATTTTGAAGCCACAATGTTCTTCTTCTGCCTGGACCTCGTTTGCCTTCAATCTTTCCCTGGAGGATTAAATGGAGTATGGCGTATTTTTCTGGGTGTCGCATCACATGTCCGAAATATTCTAATTTTCGTTTTTTTAATTGTTTTGATGATTTTCCTTGGCTTTCCCAGGCGGCTTATCACCTCCTCATTTCTGATCTTGTCAACCCAGCTTATACGTAACAGCCGCCTGTAAATCCACATTTTAAATGCTTCTAGTCTCTTCAGGTGGCCTTCTGTCAGAGACTAGTCTCTACTCCATAGAGCAGGATAGAAAAAAATACAGCATCTGACAAGCATGATTTTCAGTCTTAGGCTTATGTCGTGACTGCAGAAGACCTTTTTCATTTTGAAGAATGCTGTTCGGGCTTTTTCTATCCTTGTCTTTACTTCAACGGTCATGTCCCAGCTTTCATGTAAATTAGAACCAAGGTGCGTGATCCTTTCAACTTTTTCTAGTGGTATTCCTTCTGAATGTGTTGGTAGTAAATTAACGGGTTGTTTGCTGACGACCATGATCTTGGTTTTTGAGGTGTTAAGCTTCAAGCCGTATTTTTCAGATATTTCTGGGACTCTGTTGATGAGGAGCTGAAGGTCTTCATGCTTACTGGCAAGCAGAACTGTATCATCAGCATATCTGAAGTTGTTGATCCAAACACCGTTTACTTTGATGCCAGCCTCGATGTTCTCCAGTGCCTCGTTGAAGATTGACTCAGAGTAGATCTTGAACAACAATGGAGACAGAATACATCCTGCAATGGTCATATGAAAAATAGTCATAAGAAACTTTTTTTTCCATGCCGCTGTAACTTCAAATAGTCACTAAATGGATGATTGTTAAGTTAAGAACAACTTCTGTATGACTGGGCAGGCTCATCTGAGGGAGAATGATTGATCCCACTCAAATATATGTATATTTGTCACCCTTGTTCTTGATAGTAAATATTAAGCAAATGTAATTCCTTTAGAACACAGCTTAGGGGAGGTATTACAAAGTACCTGGATATGCAAATTGCTGTGTTTGCCCGCTCTTATAACTCATGTTTTAAAATAGGTAGTCCAAACACACGTGAATGTGTCACCTTTGTTTCCGCAGCGTTTGTTTTTCTAAGAAACCAAAAGACGCTTCTGCCGAAACCCGGGATCGAACCAGGGACCTTTAGATCTTCAGTCTAACGCTCTCCCAACTGAGCTATTTCGGCAGCTGTTGCTTAATAATTCTCTCCTTTTGCCAGATAGAACAGCTATATTTTTCCCTTTAAACCCAGCGGTGGCCAGAAGCGACCACCCGCAGCACTGTAAAACTTTTTAAGATCCACCAACCTATTTTTGTAACCGGATTGTAGCGCTGTCCTCTTTGCCAAGTTGTTGCATTAGTGTGGTTACACTGGAGTGCCCTCAGCTAGCAGGACATAGTAGTATCTCAGTTTCAGCTAAGGCTGGTCTCAGAAGCCCTTATCATACTATTTAATACAATGGCTGCAAAGTCAGGCGAGCGGCCGGGGTTTCAAACCGGTCTGTGCAAAACGCGCCAACAAGATCTACCAAATTCGGCAGCCTTAAGATGCGTGGACTTCAACTCCCAGAATTCCAAGGGATGGGGGGGTGGAGTCATTCAAGCCGGGTTGTTTAGAGAAACTTTTGTACGAAAGGGAAAGCGATTCAATTACTCTGAACCCAAAAGATGGAGGAGGGAGCGGTAAGGGATGCCAGCTAAATCCTCCGCCAGATCTCCACGCTTTTGAAATCCACCTTCTTCCCCGGGCCGATAACCAAGGGGGCCCCCAATTCAGACTCTCATTTAAACTGGGACAACTATCCCAAAGCTGCTTTTTTTCCTCAAGAGGCAGCTGGACTTTTTGGTTTTCCTTTGAAGACATTTCGCGGAGAGCTGAAGAAGCTTCTTGGAGGAGAAGCGAAACGTCTTCAAAGGAAAAGCAGAAACTTCAGTTGCCTCTTGAAAAAAAAAAGCAGCTTTGGGGGAAAACCATGACCTGATTCTCTATAGACCAGTGGTTCTCAACCTTTTTAATGCCACGACCCCCAACCGGTCGTAAGTCGAGGACTACTCAACCGGTCATAAGTCGAGGACTACTCAACTGGTGCAGCACCGTTTGCAGAATGGGACTTTTGGCGGGCTCAGCAGGGCAGAGACAGCCTGGACAATTCCTATTGGCTTTTGAAAGCCCATAGAATTAGACTCTATTCAAGAGAGTCTATTCTATTGGCTTTCAAAAGCCAATAGAATAAAAGGGAGTAGCACAGCTAAGGAAAAGGGGAAAAAATGGCGGACTGCGTTGTTTGGCGACCCCCATGAAATGGTCGTTCGACCCCAAATGGGGTCCCGACCCACAGGTTGAGAACCACTGCTATAGACCCTCACACAAATACGAAGCAAGTTTTAAAAGGCGTTTCAATAAAGCGCTCGTTTTACTGAAAAGGAGACGGGGAGTCAATAGCGAATTTTATTTACTCTTTCCACGAACGTCCCATTTATAATTTCAAATTATAATTTGAAATTGTCCCCATGGTCAGAGCTGTTTACGCGTTAAAATTATATAGTTCGTTTATTTAATTTTCCTTCTGATTTTTTTTTTTTTTAAAAGCTAATGTTCACAAACTGAGCACAAATATCCTGGACGGTTCCAAACCACTTACTGTCTTAAGAATGCACGAGGAACCGAATGGATTTGTCTTGGGCTCTGGGACTTGATGGAATCCAAAGGCACCTGGACTTGGATTTTTTTTTTCCTTCGAAAACGTTTCGCTTCGCATCCAAGAAGCTTCTTCAATTGAACTTCTTCGGGAGAACCGACGAAGAAGCTTCTTGGATGAGAAGCGAAGCTTTTTCAAAGGAAAAACCAAGAAACTCTAATTGCCTTCTGGAAAAAGCACCTTTTGGGACAACCATGGCCTGGATAATTGAAAATGGAATGTATAATTGAAAATGATAGAATGTATCCAGTTTAGATCTAGTCACCTGGATCAGCAAACAGCGACTTTCTTTTAGTTTGAAATTGCCGCCATGGCCAAAGCTTTTTATGCGTCAGATACATCATTTTTCATTTTCCTTCTGTTTTTTAAAAAAGCTACTGTTTACAGACAGAACAATAACTGTACAATTCTATCATTTATTGTCTTTAACAATGCACGGCAATCCGAACGGATTTTCTCGGTGCTATCCAGACTGAATTGGGGTTTCCAAAAAATACCTAGGGCTCCGGGACTTGATGGAATTCCGGAAGTGTGTTTTTTTTTTCCAACAGGCAAATGGACTTCCTTGAATATTATTTTAAAACATTTCGCTTCTCATCCAAGAAGCTTCTTCAACTGAACTTAAGGAGATTCTTGCATGAGAAACTTTAAAAAAAAAAAAGCCCAAGTCGTTGATCTATTCACCTGGGTTGCTAATGTCTACTTTTCATTGTGATTATGTTAAGATGCTTTTTACGTGTATTGTGTAATCTTAATGTTTCTGTGGAGGAAGCTGAAGGTATCTCGGGATACTGTTTCACTTAGCAAGTTGACAAGCTCTTTCCAGGAAAAGGTGGGTGGCTCTTAAAAGAGCCTTTGGGGGTCGTTCTGGGCAGCGGAGAGCGGGCTGGGCTGGCTTTACTTCCCTTTGGCCTTGTGACTCTCGGTCTTCTTGGGCAGCAGGACGGCCTGGATGTTGGGCAAGACGCCCCCCTGGGCGATGGTGACTTTGCCCAGCAGCTTGTTCAGCTCCTCGTCGTTGCGGATGGCCAGCTGCAAGTGGCGCGGGATGATGCGCGTCTTCTTGTTGTCCCGGGCCGCGTTGCCCGCCAGCTCCAGGATTTCGGCCGTCAGGTACTCCAGCACGGCGGCCAAATAGACGGGCGCCCCGGCCCCGACGCGCTCCGCGTAGTTGCCCTTGCGCAGCAGCCGATGCACGCGGCCCACGGGGAACTGCAGCCCGGCGCGGGAAGAGCGAGTCTTGGCCTTAGCCCTGGCTTTGCCACCTTGCTTGCCGCGTCCAGACATAATGCTTCTTTTTTTTTTTTCTCCCTGCTTATAAAAAGCCAACTTCTTCTTAACTCGAGCAAGCTAAAAAAAGATAACGGCTCAAGAAGGGCTCCCGCTACCCTTTTATTTTCTCCCGGAGCTTCAAATCGACGCTTTCTATTGGCTGGCACCAGAAACGAACCGTCGCAGCCAATGAATAGGCGGTTCCTTCCTGGCGTCCAATGAAAAGGCGGGGGCGTGGTAGCTCCATTGTTAGGTTCGGATGTCTAAAGCGGCCAATCGCGGGACGCCGCCGCTAAGCTTTCCTCGGCTCAGGAGTTGGATAAATAGAAGAGCAGTAGAGTTGGCCCTTCGAAATCGCTTTCCGGTTTTTCGCTTGTAGTGCTGCCGTGAGAAGGATGCCTGAGCCGGCCAAGTCCGCCCCGGTGCCCAAGAAGGGCTCCAAGAAGGCCATCACCAAGACGCAGAAGAAGGGCGACAAGAAGCGCAAGAAGAGCCGCAAGGAGAGCTACTCCATCTACGTCTACAAGGTGCTCAAGCAGGTCCACCCCGACACCGGCATCTCCTCCAAGGCCATGAGCATCATGAACTCCTTCGTCAACGACATCTTCGAGCGCATCGCGGCCGAGGCCTCCCGCCTGGCCCACTACAACAAGCGCTCCACCATCACCTCCCGCGAGATCCAGACGGCCGTCCGCCTCCTCCTGCCGGGAGAGCTGGCCAAGCACGCCGTCTCCGAGGGCACCAAGGCCGTCACCAAGTACACCAGCTCCAAGTAAACGAGCTCAAAGCGAAGCCTCCTTCGCCAGACCCAAAGGCTCTTTTAAGAGCCGCCCACTTTCTCCAAAAAAGAGCCGTTTCCTTTGCTTTTACTTTATGTTTAAAAAAGTTTGCAGTATATACAGAACAAGTCAGTTTATCCCTAAGTCGTAAGTTATCTTAATTTCCATTTTAGATAAGATTTGCTGGGGCCAGCTTGCGTTTCCCCATAGCTGGTAAGTCCATCCACTTTAATTTTCTGTTTGTCTTGGGGGAGGGGGCTCCCAAAAGCTTGTATCATGCAAACAAGGCTTAGTTATCACAGTCTTTACATAAAGTGATCAGATAAGATTTGTAGCAAAATGTTTCTCCACATCATACTGCCTGAAGACTGCTCCTCTTCTGAAAAAACATGGGGGGGGGAGAAGCCCAGTTGACTTGTTTAATATTGCTTTAGACTTTTTTGTTCCTGTGTCATTGAGTTTCGTTTTTGCACCACCCTGCAAACATACTTTCTCAAAGAGCTTAAAAGTTTCGAAAAGATAAGTGTGTCTTGCACCCAAGAATGGATTGCTAATATTTATCCTTCCTTATATAAGCCAGTCACGTCCCCTCACATTTTTGTTCATTTGTTTCTATCTGCATCGCAGACTATTCATTTTGCTCTTGGTTTGAGAGAAAGTGTACAATATATAGTTTGGAGAGTGAAAGCATAGGCCTTTGCACACACATGCACACCTTTGAAGTAAGCAAGAATGCACAAAGTTCCAATCAAAAACTCTGAAGAAATCATTGAAAATAGTCTATACATCAAAAATAGTCTACACATCAATGCATTAAGCCATCTAAAAAGCAAGTTTTGTTTATTGTTTTAACAGTTCAAACTGAGTTTCCATTCTAAGAGGTGCTATAAAATAGTGGTAAAAGTTGCTGGCATTTTTTAGCATCCATGTGTTTTACTTTAAAAATGGTTCCTCTGAATATTTCTGAATCTGTAGGATCCAGTTTTTCAGATCTAGGCCAATGATCCTCCTATTAACAGGTCTTTAATTTACCTATTATTATACTACTGTATGTGTGGTTTGCTTTAAGTCTATTTGAAGCAGGTCCTTTTAAAAAAAATACTGAAATTGAGTTAAAAGCATTGAATAGTAATTGCTGAGCTAAGAATAATTCTATAACTATCTGAAAACTTCAGTTGTGTTTTAGCTAAAGGATATTAACTGTTTCAAAATCAGCAATTTGTCTACTGCAATAAACATGCTATGTCCCATAAATATGCTATACAATTCAACTTTTTTTTTAAAAAATGGCATAGCCTGGGTGGGTTAATATTAGCAGCACTTTAATTGATTTTTTTAAACACTACATAGAAATTGCAAATTTGGCTAAGGAAGACTTTAAGGAAAGTTTTCTGGAGCTGTTTTCCATAGTTAAAAGAATGGCCCAAAAACTGATAGCTTATTTTAATCTAAAAAATAGAGAAATTTCCTTTTCTGCCATAACTTTAAAACATCTGATAAAATGTATGCATTTCCTTCCTTCTGATTACTCTGTAGAAGGAAGAGTATGTAAACAATTCTTAATTCAGTGTTTTGGCAGGCAAAAGGAATCAAGTCAGGCAGAAAATAGAGATAGACCTATTTAGACCAAAATAGCTCTTTCTTGTGTTTTTTTTCTAGAGTGGGATCATCCATACCACATCACTGAAAAAGTTGACCCTTCAAATACAAGCATCATTTACATGCAGGGTATGAGAATTGTTCACTGTGTTGCTATTTCAGAAGGAAAAAAAAACAATTAGAAATTTTCTCAAATATGCAAATTTTGGCTCTTCGTCTAATGTTTTCTTTCCTGAGGAAATCTGCAGGATAGATTGGTTTGATACATGGGGAAGCATCTTAGTATAAAAAATATATTCAAGTCCCACTCATAGCTCTCTAGGAAGAGCTATGTGTGTATTTAGTTTTCAGTTATTCAAGAATTCAAAATCGATTCGGAGTTGCATTTTATGGGCTTTTTTCGGCTGCTCATCTCCTGGAAATAATACGAAAAGCTCCTGAAATTGACTGCGAGCCTCAAATAAAGCAATTTTCCAAAAAGAAAACCGCTTTATGGATTTACTTCGCACTAACAGAAAATGTACCGATAGGCGTATTTGGAACTCGAGCGGCTATTTCTGATTGGACGAAATCGAACCAACCAGCCTCAAAGGCGGGAAGTGGTAACGTTCTCTTAGTTTTCCTTCTGGTCGGATTATCCTGTATATAAGGCGCCAAAGCGCGAATAACGAAGTTAATACGATAGTTCTTCTGGCAAGGAAGGGAGTGTGTTGCAGTCATGTCTGGTCGCGGAAAAGGAGGCAAAGGCCTGGGGAAAGGAGGCGCCAAGAGGCACCGGAAAGTCCTTCGCGATAACATCCAGGGCATCACCAAGCCTGCGATCCGCCGTCTGGCTCGTCGCGGAGGCGTGAAGCGCATTTCGGGCCTGATCTACGAGGAAACTCGCGGCGTGCTGAAGGTCTTCCTGGAGAACGTGATTCGCGATGCCGTCACCTACACCGAGCACGCCAAGAGGAAGACGGTCACCGCCATGGACGTGGTCTACGCCTTGAAGCGCCAGGGCCGCACTCTCTACGGCTTCGGCGGCTAAGTTTCTTTTCTTTCTAGTAATATAACAAAAGGTCCTTTTAAGGGCCACCCACGTTTTCAAGAGAGGGCTTGTTCCACTTTGTGTTAAAACTGCTTTTTGCAAAAGGTTTTCTGTGTTCGAGGTGTGTGTGTGTGTGTGTGGAGTTTGTGTGATGGCTTCCTTTTTAGGAAAAAAGCGAAAAACATTCCAGGCAGCAGAGTGGCGCAGCGGAAGCGTGCTGGGCCCATAACCCAGAGGTCGATGGATCGAAACCATCCTCTGCTAATAAAGTAGTCTTTTTGTCTTTATCTATGCCAGAGATAACAATTTAACCTACAATCACCATCCAATGCAATACTCTTTCATGCACTTTAATTTTTCTATTTAGGAGAAGGAGAGAATGACAAAGATTCGTGAAGGATGGTTCTGATCAAAAGATGATTGGGTGACGGGTGTAGCGTGCTGCTCTTTAGAAAATAAATTTCATGCATGCAAAATATGTGACTGGAAAGTAATATGTGAATACGCTTAGAGTCTGCAGTTTGACCGCTTTTCCTGTTCTGTGCACACTGAGCTAATGGAAATTAATCTTAAATGAAAATAGTATTGTGGTCTCCTTTGTTTAGTAGTTGATTAGAAATTTCCTCTGGGAAAAAAACCCTAAGATTTGCATGAAAACATGTAAAGAAAACTTAAAATTTCAGCCCATTTTATTGCTGCTTTGAAATGGCCAATGCATTAGCAGTAATTTTATTATTAACTCCCTGGGTTATGCTTAACGGCTTCGTTTTGGAGCTGTCCTTTAGACCTTCCTGAGTTTGGATTTTTAAAATTAAAATTATTAAAACAAGCCATTTCCTTGATCATAGAAACTACAGCAGTACATGGGCAAGGTAACAATCTTTTGGCATTCAGCTGATTAAAAATTAGCACAGGACTTCAAACCCTTTAAAAATGGTACTGGTTTGTAACAGGAGAATCTGTAAAGATACTGGGGTTGACCCATGAATGGAACTTTTAATGCCTTTTAAAAACATTGCATTAATTACATGTTGGCTTGAACAATGGGTTAAAAATTAAGGAACAGTTGCTGGAATTGGGTATGTCTAGTTTAATGAAGAGAAGGACGAGGGGGGACATGATAGCAGTGTTCCAATATCTCAGGGGCTGCCACAAAGAAGAGGGAGTCAATCTCTTCTCCAAAGCACCTAAAGGCAGGACAAGAAGCAATGGGTGGAAACTAATCAAGGAGACAAGGAACCTAGAACTAAGGAGAAACTTCCTGACACTGAGAACAATTAATCAGTGGAACAACCTGCCTCCAGAAGCGGTAAATGCTCCAACACTGGAAGTTTTTAAGAAGAGACTGGACAGCCATTTGTCCGAAATGGTATAGGGCAGTGATAGCGAACCTTTTAGAGCAGTGGTTCTCAACCTTTCTAATGCCGTGACCCCATAATACAGTTCCTCATGTTGTGGTGACCCCCAACCACTTATACATCACCGGGTGCCAGGGGCGTGGCCAAAGAAAAGGAGGAAAAAATGGCGGACAGCCTTGTTTGGCGACCCCCGTGAAATGGTCGTTCGACCCCAAATGGGGTCCCGACCCACAGGTTGAGAACCACTGTTTTAGAAACTGAGTGCCCAAACTGCAACCCAAAACCCACTTATGCATTGTTGAGTGCTGGGTGGATGTGGCCCATTGGGTGGGCGTGGCCCATTGGGTGGGCGTGGCTGTGGTGGTAACGGCAGACTGGGAGGGACTAAAAAGTTTAATCAATCAATTCCAACTTTGCAAGATCTTGAAGTTGAAATTGACTGATTTAACCTTTTTTTTTTTTTTTTTGCACATGGCGGCAGAGGCTTAAAGCAAAAAGGTTTCATAAAACCCAGCTGAAGGCCTAGGACTGCGGTGACGGCACACGTGCCCACAGAGAGGGCTCTGAATGCCGCCTGTGGCACCCGTGCCATAGGTTCGCCACCACTGGTATAGGGTTTCCTGCCTGAGCAGGGGGTTGGACTAAATGACCTCCAAGGTCACTTCCAACTTTACTATTATTATTATTGTTGTTGTTGTTTTGTTATTGTTTGTTGTTTTGTTGTTGTTATTATAATAAATTCACTGGATTAAATTTAACAGGGAGAAATCTATAGTTCTGGGGCGATTCAATAGGTCACAAGCTGAACTTAAGCCAGCTTTGTGATGCTTCTGCTAAAAAAGGGAGGGCCACTTGGAGATTTATTAACAGAATCCTGATCAAAGGAAGTCAGTAGTTGTCAAACTGCTTTAGGCACTACCAGAACATTGTGGGCACTTCAACCTAAACCTGAATAGTTCAGAGAAGGGCTATCAAGATGGTGAGGGGACTCAAGACCTCCGAGGAGCAGTGAAAAGAACTGATTATGTTTAATTTACAGAAGAGAAGACCAACAGCTAAATCGGCATGGTTGGCTGGTAGTCCCAAAGTTACTTTTTTGAAAGGCAACTGGACTTTCTTGATTTTTTTTTCCTTGAAAAATTTTTGCAATTATAAGACTTGTGGACTTCAACTCCCAGAATTCCCCAGCAAACCATGTTGATTTACCTGAACTAGGTTGACTTGTGAGTCCGCAGTCTAAAATTCAACAGCAGAAGCCATTACAAGGATGTTCTCGACTTATGGTTACAGCCGATACCAAATTTTCTGTTGCCACTGTAACCAAGGCAGTTGTTAAGTGAATGGCGCCTCGTTTTACAACCCATTTTGCCACAGTTGTTAAACAAATCACAGTTGTTAAGTGAATCATATGGTCATTAAGCAAATCTGGTTTCTCCTGTTGACTTTGCTTGTCGGGAGCTGGCTGGGGTGACAAATGGGGATCACACGACCCAGGGACACTGCAACCGTCATAAATATGAGTCAGTTGCCAAGCGTATGAATATTGATCACGAGACCACGGGGGAGGTTGCAACAAGTAAGTGTGGAAAACAGTCATATGTTACTTTATTCGGTCTGAAGTTATTCGTTGTAACTTCAGACAGTCACTAAATGAATTGTAAAAACAAAAACAATAAAGGCAGGATTTAAAAATCTAAAATATGTAAGAGGAGATGAGGAAGAGGAGGAGAATTATACTATATGGCCTATTTGGGCTGTAGAAATCATGGCACCACTAGGTGGCAGCAAAGAGTCACAGCTGTTTACCTCTTTTGTGCCTTCTGGTGGTTGCCCAGATTTTTCCAGCCAAAAGTTTGCCCCAATCTTCCTCCTAAGATCAACACCTCAGTGGGCTTGTCACATCCTTAAATTCCAAAATGAATGGGCGAAGCTAACCCTTTAAAGTCCAGATCATAATTCCCGTGCTTGGATTTATCCTCTTCCCCCCCTTCTTCCTAGAAACCATCTTTCGTGTTCTCCTTCCTTCCTTCCTTCCTTCCTTCCTTCCTTCCTTCCTTCCTTCCTTCCTTCCTTCCTTCCTTCCTTCCTTCCTTCCTTCTTTCCTTTCTTTCTTTCCTTTCTTTCTTTCTTTCTTTCTTCCTTCCTTCCTTCCTTGAAACCAATTTCCGTGTTCCTCTTTCTCCAGTGTCTTTGTGCTTTTTCCTTCCTTCCTTCCTTCCTTCCTTCCTTCCTTGAAACCAACTTCCGTGTTCCTCTTCCTCCAGTATCTTCGTGTTTTCTTGTTTCAAATCAGCAAAACCTACAGTCGAAGGTTTGCAGGCAAAAAAAAAAAAAAAAAATTGCCTGGCGGATGAAAATGGGCTCGTCCGGGATTTGAACCCGGGACCTCTCGCACCCGAAGCGAGAATCATACCCCTAGACCAACGAGCCACATCCTGTATAGAAGCTTCCCGTCATCCCCTTCTCAGGCTAATGACATCACCATCGCCGTTTCTTCCAGGGGATAAAAAGGAGCACTTTTGCTCTTTCCTCTTCACGTTCGGCCTGCAATTAAAAGTTAGCCCCCAAATGGAGGTCTCCTCGCCGGGAGAAAGTAAGGGAATCCACCCACCGCCAAACCTTCCCCTGATCTCTTGCGGATTTATGCCAGGAAGCTTTGCAAACCCAGTTCAGGCTCGTCCGCCCTCGGCTCTTTTTCTCGGGCACAAAACCCGTGTTCTTTCCAAGACCAGGAGAAGCGAACTTTTTTGGCAACCTCAGTTTGGGCTTTGCTCGGGAGCCGTGGAAGGGGTGCCTCTGAGCATAGGCAGAAGGCGCTCCCCTCGCCCCTTTGCAGTTTTGCGCTATTTTAAGCACGGAGACACCCGATCTCCGGGCTTAAAAGCAGCCAAACCCGCAAATTCCCCAGCTGCCCCAGAATACAGACGTGACGCACTTGGCGGAGCGGAGGAAATGATTTTCATCTTAGCATCGTTCAATTGCAAAGGGTGGTTTGCTATGAGGGAGGCACGCAGAAAAAGGGAAACAGCTGTTCCTCGTTAGTATAGTGGTGAGTATCCCCGCCTGTCACGCGGGAGACCGGGGTTCGATTCCCCGACGGGGAGGCTATAAACATTTTTCCATTTCCAGCTTCAATACACGCGTTTCAGTCTCTGTGTAGGAAGATCATACAATGCAGATTTTTTAAATTTATTATTTTGTTTTATTATTTTATTATTTTATTTTATTATTTATTTTATTATTTTATTTTATTATTTTATATTTTATTTTACTTTATTATTTTATTATTTTATTTTATATTTTATTTTATTATTTTATTTTACTGTATTTTATTTTATTTATTATTTTATTCTTATTTTATTTTATTCTATTTTTTATTTTACTGTATTTTATTTTATTTATTATTTTGTTCTTATTTTACTATATTTTATTCTTATTTTATTCTATTATTTTATTTTTATTTTACTTTATTTTATTTTTTATTATTTTATTCTATCATTTTATTTTACTATATTTTATTTTATTGATTACTTCATTCTTATTTTATTTTATTATTCTATTATTTTATTTTTATTTTATTTCTTTTACATTTAATTTATTTTTATTATTTTATTTTACTATATTTTATTTTTATTTTATTATTCTATTATTTTATTTTATTTTTATTATTTTATTATTTTATTTATTTTAAATTTTATTTTATATTTTATTTTATTTTACTATATTTTATTTTATTATTTTATTATTATTTTATTTTATTATTCTATTCTATTATTTTTATTTTAATTCTTTAATTTGTTTCAACAGCTCAGAGAGCTTCCAATTCTGGGCCTGAACGACGTTTCACGTCTGAATTCTCCCTTCTCCCGATGCAATTGTAATTCCTGTATTTGCCTCCAGGCAGCCCTGGATTTCGGCTCCAAATTCCCGCGTGGGGATTGCATTTCTTTGACTTCAGGGACACGCGTGTATCAATCCTAAACCCCCTGTTAACATACAGTTCTGACCTGCAGAAACCCAGGCGGCCGCTAGATGGCAGCAAAATAAAGCGAATCCTACCCATCTCTTGCCTCTGGGTTTTTGCCGTCTTGGGATAAAAAAAAATATAATTAGGAACCAATAAGCGAACAAAACAGGAAGCAAAATAGCAAGTCTCCTTCCTAGAATTCCCTACGGAGAGAGAGAAGAGAAGAACTCTTAATCCGGAAACGTACGAACAGGAAAAAAAAAGCTAGGTTCCACCGAGATTTGAACTCGGATCGCTGGATTCAGAGTCCAGAGTGCTAACCATTACACCATGGAACCTTCTCTAGGAGCAATTTTGCTTCGCTCATATTTCATACAAATGCTCAGAGACGATTATGTTGATGTCTTTGACCTATTTACATATTTTCTTGAAAACAGTCGCTGTCACTTTGGTGCAAGTTTCAGGAAATTTAAATTTATTTCTAAGTCAAAGAGATTGGCTCTATTTTTCCTATTGTTCATACAAATATTATGGATATTCTAGTCTGAAAATCATTACATATTTTTCCATAAAGAGAAAGAGAGAGCGATAAAAAGATCAAAACCATTCTTCAGTCGTTCAGTTTATATAGCTTCCTACCACCAGTGAGTGATACCAACTAATACCAACCATAAAAAAATTGAAAATGAATAGACCATTGGCAGATGCAATTAAAAAAAAAAGTACAGGTATAAAAACAAATATTTCAACAAAACTAATTCTTGCTCCAGG